GCTACAGCAGACCAAACCATGCTGCCCCTCCCATGGACATACACAAGCCAACCCAATGATCATGCCTGAATACAAGCAAGCGCCAACTTTTTCAAGTCCCCCAAACGACCCAATACCTATCTCCCTACCCTCACCGATACGAATGAATTTGCTGCTTTCCCAGCAGCCTTACCTGGGTCTAAACTTTGGTCGTTATTAAAATTTCCAATTATAGAATTGCCTCACTTCCTGAGAACATCTGAACAAAACAAAACCCTGCTTTGTGAAACTCTCCTAAATCACTTAACACATCATATAATAAGCTCCTTCTGACACTCTTTTTCTGAGATGCCCATGGTTCTCCATGGTATATGTTCTCTCTTTGCACAATGAGTAACAGATCCAACTTATTAAAAAATCACCACCCACCTTTACCTCCTACTTGGGTAGATGGTATTTTTATTACTATAAATACTTTTGAGCTTTGTGATGAGACACAGTAAAAGTTACTTGAGAATAGTTCTATCCTTTTATATCTTGTTTCTCAGATTTGTAGGGTGGGACCAGAGCAAAGAGGTAAACTCAGCTCCACAGTGGGTTCATCTGAGGATTTTACAGTCTGACTGGCGGGCACAGGTATAGTTTCTAACAGTATACAGGCATCATGCACTGTTTTTTCCCTGTTAACAGATGGGTCTCGGGCTCTTTGTGCATGTGTATGCTGGTCACTGATTATTTAAACACTCTAAGCCTACCCTCACTCTCAGCCAGCTCTCTATCCTTTGGTGTCCATCCTACATACTCTAGTTCCCTTGCTGTCTCAGCCTCTAACTCCAATCCCTCACCTGGAAGATCGCTGGGCTCTGCTCCAGTCTTCCCTCTCGAGGATACAGTCTGGGGTCTCTCAAGGCAGGAAGCTCAGAAAAAATGTAGGGCTCAACGTGTTCTTTCCTTCTCATCAGAAATCCTCAGCTTGCCTGATAATTATTTCTTGCCAAAGACATAGACCACGATTTGTCAATTTTTATTGTCATTTCAAGTGAAAGGATAAATCAAAGTTTCCATCCTAACCTTGCTGGAGACAGAACTTCTTACAGATATTTTAGCTAAATAAATGCCAGCACAATACTGATTTGGTTTATTCGGTTGATTTTTTATGAGTTGATTGGAAAAATGCTTACTCATTTTGAAAAATAAAATATGGAACAAGCTCAGAATTACTCTGGGTTATTTTAAAACCCTTTTTTGTTTGCAAATGTGTCATCTGTTACTTGGGTAATTTTTAACTGGAAAATGACAGAGGAACCACGATTTTTCATTTGACTGTTAAATAAGATTTTTAAATGTAGTATGATTTCTGTATCTCATACCAGTCTTGTTTAACATTCTAGTCTCAAACAATGTAAGAGTTTTATTTTTGTGTTGTTTTTGTTTGTAGAAAATGCATTATGGAAGACATGCTAAAGGTGTCAGTTTTTAAAAAACAATCTCCTTGTCAGTTACTGTTTTAAAATTCTTATATTGTGCGATTTTACTTTTCTGCTGGAACCGGGTGTGTTGAAAAGAAGCTAAAGAGGGTCTGGGGATTTAGCTCAGCGGCATAAGTGCCTGCCTTGCAAGCAGGCAGTCATGAGTTCGATCCCTGGTACCCATAAAAAAAAAAAAAAGACAAAGAAAAGAAGCTAAAGCATAGGTAAACTACCCAACCCTATCTCCAATATTCTGCATAAGTCCCTGGGTCTTTACAGTAACAGAAATTTTCATCTTTTCCTCTTCGAATTAAGAGAATTAAAAACTGAATTATAAACTGCTACTCCTGTGTATGGGAACAAGCAGAGGCATGGCCATAATTCTCGGAAGTACCTTTAATAGATTCTTAGAGATTTTTCTGGAAAGAAATAGAAGGTAAATAAAAGGAAGTTGGCTCTGTTGACAATGATAAGCATCTCGCCTTGAGGAAGGCCTGCCAGTAACTCTATTAAAGGGAACAAATTCCACAAATCAAACTTTCAAAACAGAAGATTCAGTAGCATTTTCATCTGTCAGGAACCCACTTATCATTTGCTCTATCAGGAAATGTGCAGCATAAGGAAATAAGTTTTAAGGCATCTGAGGCCTCTGAGTAGCTTCACTTGCTGACTTCTTGGTTTGTAGTGAGTTCAAAGGAACGACCTGGGGCTGGGGATTTAGCTCAGAGGCATAAGCGCCTGCCTTGCAAGCAGGCAGTTGTGATTCCCCGGTGCCAATAAAAAGGGAAAAGACAAAAAAAAAAAAAAAAAAAAAAAAAAAGGAGCGACCTGCAAAGGGGCTGAAGGAGGCAACAGAAAGTGGAGAAAAATTTAGGAGTGGAGGAGTCTGGGCAGACTTTTCATAATACTCCTAAGACTCGAAAAGATAGCAACATGGGGTCATCCACTACCTCTCATGACCTCAAGGGCAGCAAATTATTGGAACAATTACACAATTCCTGATTTTTATAACAAAGGTCACTAAACAAATTTAAAGTTTGTAAAGCATTTGTAAACTGTTCTTTTTACATATTGTCTCATATTGAGTCTAAGATTAATGATAATATTTCAAATATTTAAGGTAGGTATTATTGCTTCTAATCTGGAGATAAGGACGTGACTTATTTTAAGAAGATGACTCAAGCTTAAGTCTCTTGATTTTAGGCCCAGTTTGTAATTTAAAAATAAAAATGTGAGTCATTAAGATTTAAGTGTGTTTAAGGAAATCAAAATATTTATAATATGTTCTAGAGTGTCTGAAATTTATGATGTCTTTAAAACCTTTTAGAAAATAAATGTTTCATCTCTTTGAAAATTCACTATGACTTGCACATTCTCAATTATTTACTGAGGCTCTGTGTTGCACACAGCAGCGAGGGGTGGAAGGAGGTGGCGGAAAAACTTGTTCCCCCTGTGAGTGACCGGTGGCTTGAGGAACAGTGGAAAATGCAAATATTTAGCCTAAAGAAAGAAGTAAGACTGACTAAACAAATGTCCCTGGGCAGGAACAGAAAGGAAGCATGTGCCACTTCCAAGGCTGCTTCCCCGAGGTGGCATTTAACCTTGTGATTAGTAGTGTACACAGGAAGCACAGAAAGTATTGTACAGACACTCTGTGTTACTTAAGGAGGCAGCTTCAGCACAGATGAGGAAAGTACCCTGATGTACCCGAAGCATAGAACAAATGTTGGGCAACTAGCAAAGAAAAAGCCAAACTAATTACATTAAAAGTGAAGTTGCCCATTGACCTGATACCCTGGAGGCTTTCTTCTATGCCAGGCTCTGCTCAAGCTCTGGGCCTTTAGTAGTAAGCATGCAGACAAATTCCCTGCTTACAGCAAGCTAATATTCTAGTATTGTGACAGGTAAACCAACATGCACGTAAATAAATATTACATCCCTGATAAATATTATTATGAGGAAAAAAGCAGGCCGAGGGCATAGACCTGTGGCTGGAGGAGTGGACTTAGGGAGGAGTACAAGACTCTTCAGAAGATCAAGGTGAGATGAAGCCAGACGTCCAAGTTCTCTGAACAACCAACACTGCCAGATTACTCTCTTATCAGAAAAGGAAAAGTGGGGCCACCTTCCATGAGAAATCACTCAAGATAAACTATGAAGTAGTTGAATCTGCTAGAAGTTCTCTCCCAGGATTTGGTTTCTCAGTTTGATTTTGTTGTTCTCCATCGCCATCTCTGCTTTGATCAGCAGGAGAAAGCCAACAGACACACACACACACACACACACACACACACACACACACACAGAGCAATATCACAGACCAGTCCTCCACCTCCTCCCCAGCTTCCTCTTCTTCCCCTGTGCCCCTCACCCTGCAGAATTAGATTTCTGTGCATAGTTCCTAAACCTTCCTTTCATTTGCTTCCTCTTCCTACTTTCGATTTCTAGCCATCCTTTCCCCCACCCCTTTATGTCCTCTTTACTATATGCAATGCCATTCTCAGAGAACCAGTTCAGCCTTGTACTTCTGGCTATAGCTTAGGTTACCTCCTTATATTTTTGCTCCGTTTTATTTTATCATATTGTCCATTCAGGTTGAAATAATGAAATATGGAAAGGGACAAATTTCGTTGTGAAAGTTAATTTGTTCATGGCCACATGCATGTGCTTTTGGAACAGTACAGGCTGCCAACAGTGTACTTGAGGACTAGGGAAACAAGGGTAATAAAGAGGGTTCGTGAAGCAGTAAGAACTAAACTCCCTGTATTTCACTACAGAAGAGCACTGGAGGGAGGATATTGCCTTTCAGTTCACTGGGATCTAAATAAAACTATCATGGGTCAGCCCATCACCTACCTACTGGCCACCATGGCCTCCACATTGGGACCCGCCTCTCTGTGTAACAGAGGAACCATAGAAAGATCTTGACAGCTGGTGAGGAAACACATGGGAGCAAAAGTTGAAAGGATCAATCTGGTGGCATTGCACAAGCAGCCTGAGAGTACAGGTTTGAGAAGCCAGGAAGATCTAGTTGGTTTTTTTGTTTGTTTGTTTTTGTTTTGTAAGGGATGGAGCTCATGACCTCGCACTTGCCAGGCAGGTGCTTGTGCCACTGAGTTAAATCCCCAGCTGAAGAGCTTTTTGGGGACCATTGTGAGGAAAGAAGGGGTCTTAGACTACTTTTAACACTGTGGGGATTTTAAAAATTTGGACAAAAAGAGAGTGAAAAGGAAAGATCCACAAAACTTGGCAAAAAAAAATGTTAGAGCCACATAATCAAATTAACTCTATGTTCCACTCACAGATAATGTAGGAAAGCTTGAAGCAGCGAATCGGTACAGCCCAAAGGGGTTCGGACCTGGGGAAAGGAGATCATTTTGGGGTTGGTGGCAGCACGCCCGTTACAGATCACTGGGCTGTTAAAACTGCAGCAGCAGAACCCGTGAAGGAGTGATCAGGGCAGGAGAAATGTGGAAAGAATACAGATAAGTGCTATGTCTTGGCCCTCAGCAGGATAAAGAGAGAAAAGCAAAAACAGCACCCATATTTAGGATGGTAGGAAAGGAGAGGCACAACTCTACCTCAAAGAGAAAGAAAGATCAAAGAACTGAGGGTGACACGCAGCTCCCTTGTGCTGGGGTGCAAAAGATGAGACTTGAAAAGGCCAAGGAGGATCTCTTCTGGTAAAGGCTGTAGAAGCAGACAGAGAGTTTGGTGGGGAGGGATTGGGAGTGTTGATATTGAGAAATAAATACAACTCCCCAAACCAATTACATGTCGGATATGCCAAGTCTGTGTTCCCCATAATGGAAGAATGAATCCTGAGGAACAACAGAGTTTAAGCATAAAATAAATTATTGACAGAGAGTTCCTGAGAGACAGGAGACCCAAAAGAGGAGACATTAGCACATTTTAAAGGAAGTTTTCCAGAGCAAAATCATGAGGTGGGTCCAAAATCACAAAGTGAGTACAATGCAAGTCAAAACTACGATCAACCAATATGACTACAAGTATAGTCGCTTAGCTAAATTGATCCGATGGGGCAATAGATCATGTAGTATGTATACATGGAAAGAACAAAGACCTTTTTTAGGAAGAGATGAATCAGGAGGTCTTGCTCACCCACCTGGTGACTCATGTTAATCTGTAGTTTTTCTGGACCAGCTAATACTACTTACCTTACCCCTTGGGGAATATGTAGGCCTGGCCATTTCGTCCTTGTTTTGAGGCCTGTCTCTGACAGAGATGCCTCCAGTCAGTGCTGTAATGTGTCTCATCCTCTGCGTTCACTCTTTCAAGGACCTAGTCCTGTCTGACTGCCTATAATATTTTTACCTCCCTTCCCTCTCTATAATGAAGCTGGAGTCATCCTCAGGAAGAGGACAGAGAAACGTAAGATTGTATAGCACTAAAGACACAGCACAGTGAGTTCATGTTGTTTAAAATAACTTGACACTAAAAAATAATGAACTAAGTTCTGCAGATTTTATATTTGAAAATAAGGGTACGAGGGACATAAAACTGCAGTTGCAGAAGCCACGGGAGATCCTGCCTGGCCAACTGTCTTCTCCGTTGGTGCATCCTAGAGAAAGTTGTGGTGCCCTTTGGAATAAACCTTCTGTCTGAAGCCTCATTCATACTTGCAAGATAATCAACCAGCTAGTTTGGTAATCAGGAAGTATGCCAAGAGTTGAATCTTAACAGAAGAGGAAGTGGAAACACAAAGAAAGACCCCTTTAAATGGCAGCAATGTGGATTAAAGTAACAACATTTTTCTTGAGTTTACCTTGAAATCAGAATTTTCTGTAGTAGTTTGACCTGAATGGAAGGTATGGAATCATTGTTTGCCATCTAAACCGAGACCAGAGAAAGAGTGAATGTGACGCAGCTGGGCTGGGAAGTGTGCTAATCTGAGCTGGGAATGGGATGGAACCTAGTCTGAGCCTCTACCTGACTGAGTCACACCCTCTGAGGGATCTCCAAGTTTTTCCATGTATTTGTTGCCATTCTTGTGTTTTCAACTCCTAGATAGTTTGTTTGTGGTAGGACAGAATAATGGAAAAGTCCACTAGACCAGAGTCAGAAAGCTGTAGTTTTAGTCTTGAATCTGCTTCAAACTTTAAAAAAAATTACTAGTGCATTTTGTAGTGCATATGATTATATTTATCATGGGAACCTGGTACATGTACATAATGCATCTTAATTCTTCTTTGTTTTCTATCCCCTACTCCTCACCTCCCTCCACGATCCTTACAGCTCTTGGTCCCTTTCCCATTTGCAAAAGCTCTATTTTTCATTATTTTTCCCCTTCAATTATTTTCTTCCTAGCCCCCTTCCTGTCCCTCCTTCCATCTCTTGTTGTCCTTTCTGTTTAAAAAAAATTTCCCTACTTCTTATTTATCATCTTCCATTTTGCATTCTCTCTCTCTCTTTCTCAATATATATATATATGTTGAACTTTTCATATAAGACAAATCATGCCATATTTAAGATTGTATATCTGATATACTTAACATTATCATCTCAAATTGCAACTATTAAACTATGAATGCCTCAGGTTTATTCTTTATGGTATAGAACTACATGGATACAAAAATCACATTTTCTTTATCCATTCATGTGTTGATGAGCACATAGGCTGTTTCCAAGATTTAGCTATGATGAATTGTGATGCTGGAAAGATGGATGTGCATGGATCACTGTAAGGTGAGGACTTTAACTCTTCTAGGAAGATATGTAGGAAGGGTAATGGCCAGGTCACACTTCTTGTATGAATTTGAGAAAGTCACTCACTCTTATTTTTTATCTGGATACTAAAGGCATGTGCAACAGTTCTTTAAAATCCTTCCAGGACTGAAGTTAAAGGTGCTCATAGTAAATGTCAACAAAAAACATTCTTAAGTGGGGAATATCTGCTGCAAGTATGTCCAACTACTCCTTAATGTAGGCCAGGGAATGTAAGTTACAGCAACTACATCAGTAACTTATTACGGGTCATTCTTGATGGTTCCTATATGATAGTTGTGCTTTGCAGCAAATTCTTCACATGAATTATTTCATTTAATCTTCCCAACATAAGGAAGATACAGTAATTATGCTGTTTTGCAGTTGAGAAAACTGTTGTTTAAAAATCAAAAAGATTACCAAAGATCACACAGATTTGGTAAAGCTCACCTGGAATCTGGACACTCTGATTTCAAAGCCTAGAATAGCAAATGAACCATGCTTTGTTTTAACCTTCAGAAATTCATGATAATAGACCAATTATTTATTAGAGGTCCTTAGAATACTGAGATTTGGTAGTAGTAATTGATGCTTGATTTAAAAGACAAAAGTGCCATCAGTTAACCACTATTTTCTTTTAAAATTTTATCTTGTAATTATCCTTATTGATCTGAATTAATATTGCAAGTTGAAAAATTGAAATAGTTGTTTGGATAATTAATATTTGTAATAAAATATAGTGGCTTAACCTTAACCTAATTTACTGGATATTTGGCTTGATTCTGACAGAACAGTTTTCTCCAAGGTGGAATGCAGATGTGTAAGAGTCTGGTTATTAACTCATTTTCTAAAGAATGGATTGAACGTCACATACTTCAGCAAGGGTTAATTCACTTAAAGGACTGATATTCAATAGTTACTTAAGATGTTACTGCTTAGAAGTCATCCTGCCCTAGTATGCATTTGTTCTCACTTCTCTGTATCATCTAGTTATTCATTCAATAAGAAGAGTGGGCTGACCCAGTAGCTGCCAGTGGAAGACCATTTCCTTGGTGTGAGCAAAGGCTTACCTGTGTGGTTGTTACCCTTCATTAGGGCCTTTCTGTCCACCCAAATCTCAACTCCCTGGACTTTCTTGTCTCTGAGAAGATAGGTCAGAGTGCCACCCAACTTAGCATCTTGCACAGCAAAGATCTTGAAATTGTAAATGTCACCCTTCCATCAGGGGAAGATTTGAGATACAAACACATCGGGGAAGAGCTACATGTTTTAAGTCACCTGGCTCATCAACAAATTGCACAGCTAGTTCTGGAGAAACTTATGGCCAATGTGAGATGTGACATGGCATCGACTTCTAGGCCAAGTCAGCTGATGGTCCTATAAAAGCATATCCAGAACTCTTGGTGATCAAACAAGATAAGGTTTTGTCCCATTCATTTATGTGTCTTGTGATACTGTCCTTACATCTCTTGTTAGAAAGATGCGCCAGAGTCCAAGTAAATTGTGAGGAATTTAGAAAAACAAAAAGCTCAAGTATTCCATAAAAAACCTGCAGTGGAGAGGAGAAGAAAGGAAACAGAAGTATAAATGACTGAAGGAATGATAACTATGAGGTCAGACCAGTGCACGACTGTGATCAGACAAACATGCTTGTTTGCTAGAGGCAGGAAAGAACAGCACAGGGAGGACTGAAATAAGGAAGGCTTCACACAAAAGAAAAGTTGTGATTTGGGGCCAGAACACAATGTGAGGTTCGTGTTGGGAGGGAGGGAGTGAGAGGAGTGCATGAGAGGGAAACAGCATGACTCAGATTCAGGAGGCAGCAGTAAGGAGCCAGCTGTTTGGAAAACTGAGGAATGTGGCCTACTTGGTCAGCTCACATTTGTTCACTCGGGATGTGCTGTGTGCCAGGAACTGCTCTGCTCACTGAATATACAGTAGTAAGGGATGGAAAAGAGACAAGGATGTGAAAACAAATGAAGTGGGCAAGGTGATGATTGCTACCAAGAAGCAAGAAAACACAGTATAACTGGGGATTGGGACCTAGATGAACTGGCAGGGAAGGTTTAAGAGGGCACATTTAAACTGAGACCTGAAGAGAGAGAGAGTGTGCGTGTGCATGTGTGTGTGTGTGTGTGTGTGTGTGTGTGTGTGTGTGAGAAAGAGAGAGAGAGAGAGAGAGAGAGAGAGAGAGAGAGAGAGAGAGAGAGAGAAAGTGAAAGAGAAAGAGAAAGAGAAATACAGAAACACAGAGAATCATAAGAACATCTTGGGACAATTGCCAAGACCCTGAGGTAGGACTGTTTAAAAAAAAAGAAGACATGGAATGAGAACAGGGGAGAAAGGGATCAGATCATGAGCTTTAGAGCCTCTTGTGAGTAATTCCAGCTGTAATGGGAAGTCCTTGGAAGGCTCTGGCCTGAATTATGTTTCAGAAAGATCAAGTGTACACTGAGGGCATGTTATAGACAGAAAAAGGAAGAAGCCAAGTAGTTATTTGAGAGGTCATTCCAGTAACTCAGGTAAGAAATGGTAGTGACTTGGGTCAGGATAATGGCCCAGTTTATGGAGTAATGTGTCTGAGCTTGACATTGATTCAGGAGGGAAACACTGCAGAGTTGGGAACTGAAGGTGAGTGAGTATGGTGTGGGTGACGCTCAGTGTGTTTTAGCTCCTTGCTCTTCTGTCCCCCAACTTCATTGCTTGCCACCCATTCAGACACTCACTGCACAACCCCAGCAGGTGGCCCTTGGAGCAGCCCTTCCCCTGGGAGGTCTATTTCCTTCCCTGTTCTATTGGTCCTCTCTTACTTTAGACTCTAGTCTCAATGACTTGTTTTGTACACAACACAGTACAATGGCATAAGTATATTACTCTTTCTTGCTCAGATATCCTGTCTAATGATGGCTTTTTACATTTTTTTCAAGTAAAAAAATGCTCCATCTAAGGACACACATTTTAGGAATGCAGTTTTAACATCTTTGAGGCTACAAGCTGATATTTGGAATTAGAGCTGGAGGATTTTTTAGCATGCAGCCCCTCATTAATCAAAGACTATTTCTGACTATTCTCATAATTAATCAATTCTGTTCACATTGTCACCTAATTATCTAGCCGGTCTGATTTGTACGATAATATGCTGCAAAATGTCAATTCAATATAGTATCTCTCTTTGTCTCTGTCTCTGTCTCTCTTATATACACACAAACACAAATAATTCAGCAGACAATAGTTCTTTTGAGATGGTGGAAGTCTCTACTTTGCATGAGGAGTTAGAATTGTATATGGTTGAGGAAAAGATTCAACATTGTTTTTCCAATGTAGCCTTAGTAGAACCAAAATTTCTCCTTTTAAAATTTCTTTCTCTCTCTCTTTTTTTTTTTTTTTTTTTGTACCAGGGATCAAGCTCACAACCTCACGTGTACCAGGCACAGAGCTAAATCCCTGACCCCTACAACCAAAATTTCATGTTAGTGAAAATTATTTTTTACACTTGAAATGCCTTTGCAGTGGCTGTTAGTAAATCCAAATGAAATCTTGAGGGCCCAAGTGAATCACTTACATTTCTAGCCTTCTTTTTCCAGTTTATGTTAGAAAAATGAACAGATAAAATTAACCTGGCAGTTCCTCTGTTCTCCCTCTGGGCCCCTCTCATCCTTTGTCTGACACTTCAGATTTTCTATTACACAATCCTTTCCTTCTTCGGTCTAAGTTTGTCCCCAGATCTACTCCCTAATAGAACCTTAAAAGTCAATGAATGAATCTGTAATCACACAATTTCTAACATTACCGAGGTGTTGGAATACACAAGTATCTACAATACAGAGTATCTACTTACCTGTCACAGTCTGAATCAGGAGTTTGCTGGCAAGCAAAGACGGTAGAAATGTCTGATAGCTCTGCTGTCACACAGAGCCCCTCAACCGATGAAAGTACAAAAATATGAAAAGCCATGTCCTTGTCCTAGGTGAGGGCAACTCAGAGGTGTGATTCTTTTCCCAGTTACCCAGGGAAAGAGCTAAAGCTAGAACTTTGCCCAACATTCTTATTTTGGCAGCATGTTCTTTAAAACTGGGAACACAGTGTCAGTTATATATACAACTACGCAAATCTCTGGTTGAAACCCTTTGGTGTTTGGAGACAGTATTGACCTACTAATTTCTTAGTGAACTCTGAGGTTGGCTTGATGGTAGTGAGTCTTATCTCAGCTATTTATCAGCTAAGGATTCTGGTACAGTCAGTCAAATCCTGTGTTTCAATACACTTGTCTGAAATGGGTATGAGAGAAATAATAAGGAGCCATGTGGGCTTTGGAGGAGAAACAAGACACCAATTTGCCCTTCCTCTGATCCAGTGGCAGCCATGCAAGGCCAGGAAGAAAAACAAGAAGCCAATTCACCCTTCCCGTGAGCCAGCTGGCACATGGACTGGGAGACAAGAAGAGACCCCTGCCCTGGTAAGCAGCTGGCTGACTCAGAGGAACACAGACTGAGTTGATAGCAACTGAGGTACAAAAACAACTTAATGCTTGTGTTGTTTGATTGACTTTGCACGCCTAAAGCCGGTAGTCTGAGCATCTGTTTAGAGGATAACAATATGCAATATTGCAGATATTTCTTATGTCTTGTTTTTAAAATCCAATATTGTTCACATTGTTTTAAGGTGTTCTGTTTTATTGTTTTGTTTTCTTCAATATTCTATTTTGATTGGTTTTATTCTGTTATGTTTTGTTTGGTTTTATTGTCTGAGGAATGAGCAGCAATTTTGAAAATAACAGGAGGCATTATGCTAGCCATTGCTGATTTCCTATTATCTTGTTTTGAAGTCGTATATCATTTTCACTGTTTTATTTTGATTGGCTTTATTCTCTTTTACTTTTTTTGGTTTTATTCTCTGTAAAATCAAAAAAATTTAAAAGCAAAGGTAATTATGGGCTCAATACGGAGCACGTACCTAAACAGCATATAAAGTCATAGAGGACTGAAACAAACGGGAATAAAAAGAAACTTTCAATAATAATAAAAATGTAAATATGAAGGTCATAGGTATACAATCAATTTTTGGGATTTCAACAGTAGCAAATAGCATTCAGGATATTTAAATTGATATGTGAGCTTTCATTTATAATTTATGAAGTGGGGGTTGCAGTTAACCCTGGTCACTAGTAATATTTCTTTCTGTCCAGATATGTGTAAAAGGCACCAATGAGAAGGTGTGGGACTTCCTCTTAGGACTCTGAATGGTTCAATGGGGTAGATATGATGCACATAGTACAGTAGCTCGTATCTCAATGAAGTTGACTGTCCAAAGATCTTGTTGGTGTTGAGCCTGATGATTGTTATCTTAACAACATCAAGTTACTGTAACTTTCTTTAAATCAATATTCACTTAAGTTAGCAGTTCAGAGATATTATTTTAAAAGTACCTGTAAATAGCTTGATCACTTTGAGTGGAATGAGTTAAAGTGGTTATAGTAGTTTTTGCAGTAGCTGTCATATAATGCACGTCCAGAAAACATTGTTGCCTAATAAGGTTAAATGTTGTGGTGATTTGTGTAAGAGCTGATTTTTTTTTTTTTTTTGTCCATTCTCTCATGAGATTGATCGGCAGCAAGTGCTGGTTTCTTATCTAAGCACTATATTATGAACAGTGTGTGAGAGACACTAAATCTATAAATATGCCATTGATGTTGGAAAGGAAGCAGTAACTACTATCTGATATTCAGAGTGTAGGATAATAGGATTTCTTTTGTCTGGAAATACCATGTTTGGGGGAAGAGATATAAACCATTGGAATAGCTAGAGTCATTGTGGTCCTTCCCACAGTCTCTTAAGTGACCAGAATGTGTCAGGTGAGTTTAGGCTGTATAAAAGGTTTTATTAAAGGGAAAAGTTGATTTTTTATTTTTTAATGTAACTGTATCTAAAACAAATGAGGTAAGTGTCTGTGCTCAGTAAACCATGTTAGGGGCCTTGAAGTATCCATGTCAGCAAACTGAGAAAGATAAAAGGTCTTTTTACCTTTGTAATTTTGGAGGTGCAAGTGACCTATGAGATCTTTGTAAGTAACAGATTTTCAAGAATAAAGAAAACTCTTGTGCTAAAGAAAGGAAAGAAAGATACGAAGTGTCAAGCATGGTGTATTGTTCAACACTGAGTCAAGTCTTCCCTCATTTTCTTCAAAAAGGAGTCCAGATTCCCTAAGATTATAGTTTGAGAAATCAAATATATTACTTCCAGTTTGAGAAGCTATTTGTTGATGGTACAGAGGGATTTTTATTTTTTGGTTCATTTGTGTATTCAAGCTGTGGGTGGATCTTTTCACAGAATAATTGCATGACATATTTTGAGTTGACTCAGGCATGTATGTCTTTCTTATGCTTTGATGAACATTTGTTCAAAGCCAACTTTTCAATCAAGTGATGGAGAATAGACATATTGCTCTATCCAACATGCCAAAGGTATCGCCACTTTCAGGAATCTTTGGGACTGCTGTCTAATTGAATCTTTGTCTCAGTTTTCGTTTGTTGGTTGGGCTGGTTTGGCTCTCAGGTTCCTCATACTCGGCTGCAGACACGTATACCATACTTTCTAATGAAAACTTTTCCTTACCACTGTGGTAGCTGGCTGTGCATATCAGCAGTGCTGGAGGAATACAGGAATACAGGAATCTTTGTACTCACTCACTTGATACAACTAATGGCAAGCGGTATACACATGTGTCACAGTGTAAACAAATGTGTTTTATGCATGTTTTTTGCCCTGTCACATTTTGTATATTTACAATTTTTATTGCATGTTCTCTTTTGATTTTTCTTGTAGAATTACCCCAATTCAGTACAATACCACATGGAAAGCCACTTTTGCAACTTTGGGAAGAAGTTGAAAGTGAGTCATCAGATGACTTGGCTACTGATGACAACTTGGATTATGTAAACCAAAGAAGTTAGCAATTTATGACAGGTGCGACAGACAGAGATATGTCAGAGAAGTACAGAATGAAGATCTTAATTCATATAAGAAGGAAAGAATAATGTTGATAAATATTTGACTAATTGAAATGCTACAAAATTGCCATATATTTCTGAATGATTCAACATTAGAAATAGGTCAGAACATGTTCTTAGGATCTTGGCAGAGGTGCAACTTATTGGATGGGATGCCAACACTGTGATTCAATTTTGGAAATTGTTTTTAATAGACAATATGCTACAAAATGTTTTTAAATGCACTAATAATGAAATGCAAAAATCACTCTATATGCATTAATAGTAATATTCAAAAATATATTATCATGACACCTCACTATCTGAAATAAAAGCCTTCATGGGACTTTTATCATTCTAATCATCAGGATCTAAAAGATTTATGAAGTGACAGATGTGGCATTGAGATTTTCAGAACAAGAGATGTGGTTTCCTTCAAAATTGGCTATCCTTTGATGACAAGAAGACCCATCAAGAAAGAAATAATTCAACAATTTAGCTGCTATTTGCTTTCTTGAAAGGTTTGGTTTGAGCTGTCAACAATTTATGCATAGTCTGAATATATGACAATTGGTGAACAATTTGCATCATTTCGTAAACTGTCAAAGATTTTGGCACTATATGCCAAGTAAACCTTCCAAATATGGTATAAAAATATATGTGCTGGTAGATGCAAAGACATTTTACACCTTGAGTTGAAAATTTATCCTGGAACTCAGCCAACAGATCTTTATTCATGCAGTAGTAAACCCTATGACTTTGTGAACACACTAGTTGCACCTAGTTCAAAAAGTAACCCAAAAGTCACACTTCACAATTGGTTCACTAGTTACCCATCAATCTTACATTTGCTAAAAGAACACCAGTTAACCAACGCAGGAACTGTTTACAAGAAAATGACTGAGATTCCTGAAACAGCTGTTGCAAGTTCATAATAGAAAAATATATGCTACCATCTTCGAATTTCAGAAAGACAACATCGGTATCCTATATGGTGAAGAAAAGCAAAAGTAGTATTGATAGTATCAATATTATACCATGATGGTAAAATTGACAGTGAGACCAGGTGTGGTGGCAAATGACTACAATCCCAAGACTCAGGATGCTGAGGCAAGAAGACCCAGAAAATTCAAGGTCAGCCTGTGCTACATAATGAGTTCAAGACTAGCCTGGACTACATAGTGAGACTGTCTCAAAACCAACCAACAAACAAAAAGAGATTGATAGTGAATCCTCAGCACAAGTGAAGCCAGAAATGGTCTCATAGGCTTAAAATTCTGTTTTTCTAACCAGCTTCTTGGTTTTGTCACTGCTGCTGGTCCAGATGTCACATTTGGTGTGGCAAGGGCACCGAGGACCTGCCGAGCTCCATTTCTGAGACAACCTAACCGGTGAGTCTGTAATGGAACTCGCAGTCCCGTCTCCTTTTATTAAATTCCTCAAGAAGTTCGTACAATTATGTTTGTGAAGGCCATTTGTTGTGGTTCTATAAATTTTTAATTGAAATAAACATTTGGATACTATTTTTTTGCCATAGAGGAGCTTATATTAATACTCAAAAATACAGAAAACTTGAAGAACATAGCAGATCCTGAAATTCATTTGATATTTTTTTGCTAACGACTTATGCGTCATTTACACTGATGGATAAAATGTTTTTTCCTCACTTCTGCTTGCAAAGTAGGCTGAAAGCAAAGGGTCTCCTGGCAGTGCTTCAAAAGACTGGCAGAAAAGCAGCTGCATCTCCTGCAGCCAGAGAGTGGCCCTGCAACTCTTTCTCCCTAACCTACACCGAGATTGGCTGCTACTGATGAAGGAAAGAAATAAGCCCATCCTCTGACACTGCATTTCCCCAGGCTTCTGTTTAACACTGGAAAAGATATTTTCTCTGAAACTCTGGCCAAGCAGACCAAGGGAAAAGTGGCAACCCTGCAGGTGATACATAGCCCACCATTTTTCTTTGAGACAGACCATAGTGTAATTTGCCCTTCCATTTTCACTGATGATCTGCTGCAATAACTCTGAGTTTATTTAAAGGCAGGAAATCATTTCAGTCTCATCCTAGAAGCTTTTTATTAATGCAATTTTTCACATGGATAATCATAGAGGAAAAAGTAACAACATGGTTAAGCCTTTTATTAAAACATGATGCAGGCACAAATTGCCATTAGAAAGTAAAACAACTTTTCATGTTTAACAGCAATAAGCAAACATTCTGAAAATAACTTCTGCAATCACTAAATCACTGAATCTCTGCATTGCCTCAGATGACTGAGCAGCTCTTTAGATCAAGCTCTTTCTGGTGAATACTAGCTTAACTTGCTTTTTATAAATATGTCCAATCTAGCTTTTCATGGTTAGAACTGAATTAATGTTATGATCATACTCTTTGGAAAGTTGTAGCAACACATAAAATAGGTTATGCTGGAAAGAAGGAACACACACTAAGTTCCCAGCCTACTTACTTGAGAATAGAGAGTTTGTGGGAAATAAAGAAGCCACCCCATCACTAGTACAGGTATAGGCACATGTGTTTGGACAATTCCTTGTCCCTTTTGTCTCTTAGGGAATGCATACCTGCTCATAAAGGGGAAAAATGTGTTTACTTGCTGAACCAGTAGAGTCCTTCTGACATTGAGAAAATAGCTAAATCCCTGTTATTCAATGGGTAATTTTTACTCGGCTCTTACATCTACATCCTGGAAGGAGGTCCACTAATATTCCACACAATCCCACTTAAGGAAATGCTCCTCTGCGGGGTTATTCTGAGTTCTTCAGAGGTTGCCTTTCTCTGGGGGCAGATGTCAGAGTGAGCCCCAGTCTGCCTCCACCATGATTTTTCAAGTGTCCAGATTCTCATTTTTCTGTAGTTCCATAGTTTCACTATCTCCTTTGCCTTTCTCCCACACGCTGCTTTAATGGTTTTTGCTGCTGAACTTGAGCAGAAAATCATAGTTACATTTACTACTCATTCTCACTATAAGACAACTCCTTTGCTGAGAATGGATATGCACAGAACTCTAATTGAATCCGATTCCTACTGTCATTGATGTTAAGCAACATTAATTTTCAGGATAGAGTTAACAGTTACATACTTGTGTCTTTCATAGAGTATTTGGTCAGGGCCTTTTCCTTTGCTCAAACTTAAAAATGAATTTTTTTCCCCAATAGAATTCTGTACAATTTAATAACATAACCATGTGCTATTGAAAAGGTCAAGTAGTTCACGATGGTAACGCCTCAGGCTATGGTCAAACAAACCATTACCTTATCCAGTGCAGAAATACTTATTAAGCCATTGTTGGTGCTGACCCAAACCTGACTTCTTGAAAAATGAGGGGAGTGAGACAGCAGAGAGCTAATAATTGCAACCAATTTAAAGATACTGGTGTTTTCAGATTATTGGATCTGTATCCATTCAGTATTTAAGAGCACTGTGCCATCTCTGAGACAGGCTACCTAGCCTAAATGAAGATAGAATCCAGTAATCACCCTGTGAATTTGAGAGAGGCAGCTGACCAGGCTGCAGGCTAAAAACTTTTTTGCTTCCTCGGTGGATAGGCAGAAGCTTAAATTACTAATGCTCTTCTTGGCCTGACTGCACTCATCGCTGAATCAATGAACCAAAGATAAACCAAGTCCATGACTCAAACTGTCACGCAGAAGGTGAAAAACTGAGCCACATGCTGCAGTCACACGGTCACATTCACATCTAGGTCCTGCCATGAGACTGGTTGTGCAATCTAGGGCAATTCAGTTAATGTCTCTGAGCTTCTGCTTCCTTGCCTGTGAAATAACACCTATCTCACACCCACAGGATGGGAGGATTAATAAATAATGTAAAGCATTTAGAAAGCACTGCTTCCTGTTCTGTGTGCATAGAATTTACTTATTGTTTCTTTCCCAGACAAAAGAAAAAAGAGTTTGAAACCCCAGAAATTGAGTTTATGTTATTGTGGGGAAAATTCTATTTTAAGAAAATTATAACATCTAAGATGCTATTGTGATTTCAAGTGACAAAATAAGACTTGGCATCATTTCGTGTTCCCCAAAGCAGTACCTTGGTTCTGTAAGAGAAGGATAAAGAAATAGAGCTAAGAGAAGATACAGAAAGTAATAAGAGGTCATTGATCTCCTCCAAGGGTGTCGAGAGTCCTTTAGAGTGTGGTGCTTCATTGTAATTCTCTTGCCATATGTCAGGCGTGATCATGAAATATTCCAGTTCTCAAATATTGATTCCTGTTCCCTCCTGTAGGTTAAAACAATTGAACTTGAAGGAGGCCTCTGGAAGACCACTGCAAAGTGACTGTAAGAATGAGTATAGACCTTACAGCCTACATAGTTTATGATTTCACTTCTGTGAATGATACAGCTTCATCAGCGGTCAAGGTAAGGCAGAGCTCTAGTTAAAATAGTGGCCTAATAACAATGAACTTTTAACTATTTTATTGTTTCCCTTATTATGAAAGTATTGTGCTTACTTTATAAGTTATGGGTTAAAAATTGAATTAGAATTATCATTAATTCTATCACCAAGACATAGCTATTGATAGTCACAGTCTTCCAAATATTTTGTATGCATGTCAGTATATGTAGGTGTATATAGGGACAGTATAAATTGCATATATCTGCATATATATATATATTTCAAAGAGTTCATATACAGAATATATTTTCTGTAAAACAATTTTTAAGATGGCTTTTGCCATAATATGCCATAAATTAAATGCCATTAAATATTATTCCATAGTACAATATTAGTAATTTCATAGAGGTATCATAGTACTTTAAACCTTCTTCTTATTTGAGAACATTCTTTTCTGTTTCTACTTGTTTTCTATAATTTTTCCTCAGTGAAAGTAGATCTTCATAATTTTTAGGGTCTTCATTATTTGAAAAACTTTACCATGATACACAACTGTTATTTTTGTACTTACATTTTTACCAACATCAGTAGAGAGACTCAAATTAAAAAGAATTCTTTACCAAGAGGCATCAAATTATAGACATAAAAACATCCTCAAAGAACCATAAAGTACCATAAAGTAAAAAAACCATAAAGTACTCACAAAAATGGAACTAAATGGCTATTAAAACTTACATATTATGCTTATACAGATGTATAAATATTTATATATTAAGTTGTGGGTCTACATCCACAGAGTACACAGATGCACATGTGCATAGACAGATGTTGGAAAGGTCAGGTGACACTGTACTTCAGAGGGCCATGTTCCTGTCAGCTAAATCTTTCTATCCTGGTGATTTGGAATATGTTACTTTATCTCTATGTGCTTTTCCCCCCCTTGTTCCATCTGTAAAATAAAGATAATGACACCTACTTCATGGAATGGGGATGTGTGAGCATTAAATTAGATTTCACATGTAAGCATTTATCAGAGGGACTGGTAAATTATTTTTAAAAGTGGTGGCTCTTCATACACTCTGCATGAAATCGTAAAGGGATTTCTATTAATTCAGAGCATGAAAGCAGGTCATCAAGTGAAAGTAGTCCTATACTTGGAAGCTAAGAAAATTGGAATCTAATTTTGTTTTTTCTACCTAAGAGCTAGTTGTTTTGGGGGAACTATTAAATATATTTCTACTTTTTTTTAGCTTAAAACAAATAGATGGGATGGATTTTATCAGTTCTCAAGGGGGCTTTCTCACATAACTTTTGTGACCTGTGCTTTATTTAAGTGATATTTATAGTCATAATTTTGAACTACTGGTTTTCAAGGACTAGAATCATATTCATCTGCAAATAGACTTTCACAATGGATTAATATAGCTTGAAATTTATAGGTTAGTACCAAGGAAGTCAATTGTAACAAAAAAAACCAGGGTTGCTTATAATTTTCATGTCTGACTTTTGCTTTAATACTTCACAGAACCTCTTAGCTCTTATTGACATCATGCTGAAAGTCACTCAATGCTTGCTTTAAAATTGCAGTGTGGCTTTCTATGTGTCCGCATTGTCAGGAACAGGATTGTGCCAGGAAGCTGTCAGTCAAAGGCCACTTCTAATTTGCTTTTCCCAGGTATCCATATATGCATCCCCAGACAAATGGAATGAAACATATGTTTTGTAGGCATCGTAGAAACTACTTGGTTCTTACGAAAAGTACTTTGATATTAACTACGCACTCCCCAAATTGGGGATGTTCAAATCCCACATCATTGCCTCTATACGTGCTCATAGAACTTGCTTTGCCATTTTCCCTCTTATACATCATTTAAATGAATAGCAAAGAGATTCAGTTAGTCCAGAAAGAAATAATTTGTTCTTCAGAGAGATTCCTTGAGTATAGGAAATACAGTACTTTTCAGAAGCCCAAGTAATATGCATCATATTTCTACTACTTTATGAGGATTAATGACAAAATATTTGCATTTAATGCTAGAACTGAATTAACTTTCTGAATTAATCCTATATATTATTATTTGTGTACAATCAGCCATCTTTCTAAAAATTGCTGAAGATTTATTTAATCAGAGAACTAAACAGTCACTGCATGTTATCTTTATTGCCCATTGAAGTTGGAAGGTAAGACAAATTTTTTAAACAAGAAAAAAGATAATTTAATTTAAATGTGATAGTAGGTCTTTATATAAAAATACTCATAGCATAACTTGCTTTTAATTTTCTATCCTAAATTGTAAAAGATGCTATTTTTATAATGTTTTAGAGCACACAAAAAGTATGGCTTAAATTCTATAATTTATACAAATTAGTTTTTTGAGTTTCTGATCACTATTATGTAAGATGTTTTTCCTTTTAGGTACAAAAATATGCTCTCAATCACATCCCTTCTTCCTTCTCCTCTCACAATCCTCATGCAATTGTCCTTAAAAAAGCTAACAAGAATAATCAAAAACTGAATTCAAGGACATATATGTAAATTATATATATATATATATATATTTTTTTATTGCAAGTTCTAGGTACTGTTAACACAGATACACTATATTCTCTTCACCCATAATTCATTGTTATGCCCTGGATCAAAAGAAAGCCTAATTACAACCCCCAACAATCTTACATTGAAAATGCAACCTTGAAGATCATATGACATATCATTTAAAACTAAATGAATAGAAGCATACAGCCTCCAGCGTGAGCCAAGAGGAGAACCAGTCAGTGACCCCCGAGATCCGGCCACAGCCATGGTGGAACCCAGGAAACTGCACAAAAAAGCTATTCGCCCACCCTCTTGGTAAGCGCCTCTCTCTTGCATGAGCCAGGAGGAGACCCAGTCAGCGTCTCCTATGAGCCTACCGGTGTACAGGCTGGGAATAAAACATTCCACCACCTTCCCTGGGTGATAGAGGGACAGAGGTCTGAGCATCTCTTGGGAGGATGACTGTGTACAATATAGCAAATAAGGGAGATCTCCTGTCTTCTGTTTGAAAGCAAATGTTGTTTTCACTGTTTTGTTTCATTATGATTAACTGTTTTACTCTATTCAGTATTCTCTTTCAATTGGTTTTATAATGTTCTATCTTTGGTCTGATTTCACTGTATCTAATTGGCTAGACAACTATAGTGAAAATAATGAGATATACTATGGTACCTATTACTGTTATTCTGGCAACTTGCTCTGAAGTTCTGTACTGATTTCCCCACACTGTCTCAATTGGCTTTGTTCTGTCTTGCTGTGTTGTATTTCTACTATCTTCAAAAAACAAATGGAGCAGATATTAACACTTACAATGGCTAAGAAATAATCCAATATAAAACCATTAATGACTTTAGAAAATGACTCATTCTTACATTTGAAGTCTTAATGAATACTTATCTTTTTAGTGGTAATTTAGCTTTTGATTGTATTATAAATACTTGTTTTTATACACTAGAATTAACCAGAATTATTTCTGGACAATAATTATAAGCCAAATGACTTGTTTCAGGCTCAAAAAATTTTTTTAAATAATCTGTCTTTTTAGTCAAGCATTATTTCTTCAAGTAGTAGCAGATTTCTAAGATTAAATATTAGCCAGAAATTGTCTAACCTATATGAAATCATTGATAAAATATGTATATATGCATATACATTCACACATTATCATATACAATATGAATTAATGTATATTATGCCTGAGTTGCTTAAGAATTAGATTTTACTTCTTTATTACCACAGTATATATTGAAAAGAAAATTGAGGTCAGAAAGAATCAGTGACCAGAGTTTTTTTCCTCTACTCCCTTGGAAGGACTCTTGTTCATAATATAATCTATTTGTGCTTGGAATAGCAACTAAAATATTAACTATAGAGGTTGCTTCTGAACATTGTTCTATAATTAATATTAACCTTCTATTTTTTCAAGATATTAGTTTACATTTTGAATAATTTCAAATATACTGAAAATTATTTGATACTTATGTTTTAAAGTTTTTAATAGTACTAATTTAAAATACAAGTATTTTTATTTTTGTTAATTTTTTTTTCTTTTTTTGGTACCGCGGATCAAATTCACAACCTTGAACTAGCCAGGCAGTTACCACTGAGCTAAATCCCCAATCCTGTTAATTTTTAGAATGAATATTTCATAATAAATTATTTTCCTGGTCTTGAGTTCCCCAAAATGTTGCACTTTTAAGGAAAAAAAAATGGCTAAGTGTATTAGATTATTTCAACTACAAAAATGTACTGATAGAATGTTCTTCTACTTGATAATGGGGAGTGATTGTTTTCAGTGCAACCATGAGACACCATGCTAATGTTAAGGTTTGTGTGTATGTCTGCTGAAAATTTGCTTCTATGTACTAAAAGCATCATAATGTTAGAAAGCAAGGAGAAATCTTTCTTCTGGGGTGGAAGCCATAATGATCAAGTGTGGGTGTTCTAGTTTCTTAGACTTAGCTGTTATTCTCTGACTTTGAAAGAGCCTGGAGTCATGGAAAATTGGGGCCTTATTGCATGTAGAGAGACATCATTGCTATTTGGTCCCAAGACCTCTTCAGCTTCTGCTAAGTAGTGGGTCACCAGAGTCATAGCCTATAAACCAGCACTCTACGTACCTGGAACTCATTTTACTCTCTGTTATCAGCCTAAAAAAGCATCAGACAGAACACCACCCATATTCCTGAAATAACGTAAAATCATAACATTTTAACTCTAATGAGAGACTTGGGAATTGTCAGATCCAACATAATATGTCAAGTAGTGGATGATTTGGTTTCTAAACTATAGGATTCATGCTGGCATTTTATTGCAAGAGAAATGACAGCCAAATTTGTCTTCTAAAATTCTTCAAAGCAGAGTCTTTGAATGTCTTTTGAGAAAGAAGGGTAGGAACTATGCAGATGAATAGAGGGCAGAATTGGAAACTATAAATAAAGAGTTCTGTTAAAAATATTTCTTCTTATACCTTCCTAGTGCCCTGGTATTGCAATCCAGAACAAAGTCAGTTTCCCTTGGTTGAATCCTATGATTATGTGGTCCTAGTGAAGTATTCTAAATAAATTACTTATGAACTGATGACCCCAGCTATTTCACTGAGTTCTCTAGAGTTCAGTGTCTTCATATGTAAGAAACAGTTAATAATACTTCCTGCTCCATAAGACTGTTGCAAAGATTATAGATAAGGATAGTTTCTGTGTCTGTCACATTGTAAGCTGTCAAAGATGTAAGTGATTGCTATTAATAATGACAATAATGTCCAATACTACTACTACTTCATTTCTTAAAGAACAAGGGATCCAGAAACCATTTAGCAGTGCTCCATTACACTCAAAATGAAACTATGAAGCTGACTCTATAGGGTTAGGAGCCTAACTCAGCAGTAGACCACACGCCATCCCCAGATTCTATCTCCAGCGCTGCAATAACAAACAACAACAAAACAAGCCTGGAGGTTATTTCCACTCTGTTTCATTTCTGAAAACCCTAAGTAATGCAGTAAATGATTAATGGCACTGGAAATACTCTTTCACACCACAGGAACACATATTATTTCATTGTAGGAGCTGGTAAAATCACTTTTTAAAATTTTTAGAAACTCTATCCTTGGTCAGCACCATAATAATATGTCGAGTTGTTGTTTTAGCAGTGAACTAAGTACTTACACAGGGGTCCACGTACTGTATTACTGGCTCATTTTAGGTGTTTCAGTGGTTAGTTACTGGGAGCTCTGCAATGCTTAAGTGAGTCTGGGGATTTCTAATCTTTCTATTCAATGTTTTTAGGGAAATAGTGTGAGAGCGCTACCTCGGAAGCTCCCTCTGGGACTTCCCTTAATAGCTTTTTTTTTTTTTTTTTTTTTTTTTTCCTTAATAGCTTTTCTTTCTTGAGATGCAGAGCCTAGAGAAGAAACAGCAGGCAGCGCTGGAATTTCTGCCTTGACTCTGTGGCCTCACGTTGATGTCCATATATTCATTTTACTCCTTTGTGTGTGATCCTTGCAAGGATTCCCCAATGTCAGCTGGGTCCCAAACAGGGAATCCAAGGTCTCTGTCACCCAGGTCTTTCCCATCTTTTCAGCTTTATCTCTTATCTATGTGCCCTATGCTTTAGCCATCCTAAATTGTCTGCTATTTCCTGAACACTGAATATGCCTCTGCTTCTGCTACTTGCTGCATTAGCATGCCGAATAGGAAATAGTTTTCTAACTGACCTATATGTGCTTATGAAAGAACTGGTTATTTCCTCCTAGAATTCTCTGCCTCTGGTAGAGGCATTAATTTGAGCACATTAGCTCAAGTTCATTGCTGCATCTATTTATTTACTGGTTGACTCCACCACCTGTACTGAGGTTGTGGCTATTTTGCATACATCTTTGGATTTCTAACATATGTATTGTATCAGGAACACAGTAGGCTCTAAATACATTAGATATTTATTGAATGAGTGAATAAACTATATTCAGTGGTGCAGTAAGCAGAGTCAGGTCAGCCTGTGCTTCTCATAGTCATCATTTCTCAACTGAGGAAAGACTTCCTGTCCTACATATGGAAGAGCTCATAGGAAGATTGGCAGCCACTCACAAAATGATATGAGTGCAGTTACAAAAGAGGCAGTGCTTAAACCGTTTCTAGAAGCTGCCAACATAGACCTTCCTATCTCTAAATATAATATTACATTTCTGAATCTTAGCATCTTATTAAGTTTCTAATTGTTCTGGACGTTTCAATCCTGAAGTCTACATATTAAATGCACAATATTATACCAATACTTAAATAAATAAGATAAAAATGTGTAAATGAACAGTAATAGTTAAAATATGTAATAAATCAGGTAAACCTCTATTGAGATTACCTTTATGAATTATTTTTGTTTTATTTATACATGTATTAAATGTTGAAACTTTATTATTTTGATGGCCAAGTTAAACTCTAGGAGTAACTCAGGTTCAGAGACTAGTTACTGTATTCGTTAGTAATTTTATAGAACAATCTGAGAGGTCTATGATTCTCTTGGGTGCATAATACTTAATGTAAAAATTGACAGAACCAAAGGCATTGAGACTTGTCTTCCTCCTTAGATCATCACAAATCAAGGGCAAAGTGAGATTATTATTATTGTATGAAAAGAAAAACAATGTTTCTTCCTTAATATCAGATTTAATAGTGAGAAGATTTGGGATGCATAGAACAAGTAGTGGAGTATTGGAGGTAATTATGTACAAAAGAAAGGAAACAGAAACCTGCAAAAAATGTAATGAGGTCAAAAGGACAAGGAAACCAGTGGAAGGAAAGTACACAGAGAAAAAAGGGTAGCAAAGATGGAGAGAAGAGCCTAATAATCATTTTCAAAATGTTGGCAACCCTGATATTTTTTGCTACAGTTAATAAAATTTTTACAATTTTGTTTAACTTTTTTTTTTTTTTTTTTTTTTTTTTTAAATTTTATTAAAGGAGAAAAGAAAAAAAAAAGCAGGGAAAAGGTACAAGTTATACAGATTTACAGAAAAAAAATGAACCGTAGGAAATCACTAGTTAATGGATTACATATTGTCATCTTAGAAATAATTGTTCAAGTCACAAAATTAAAGCTTGTAAAGTGGACATTCCATCAATGATACTGCAAACAGTTCTGTTCATTGATCCAATAAAACTCTGTGATATCATTTTCTATCTTATACACTTAAATATACATGCAGTTATATAGTTTGGAGCACTTTCTTTTCCTCTCTTTTGTACCATGACTATTACACATTTTGGGTTTCATTGCTCCCACGGTTCTTATTACTTTTTTGGAAGAGAGTAAAACCAAATGTGACATAACAGAACAGAATCGGTCAAGTCAAAAGGGTGGACATAATAGATAATGTAAAAACATAATACAAGGTTATCAACAATGGTTACCATAATGCCTCCCGCTATCTCTAATAGAATTGCCTATATCGTTAGTTATAATACAATTGAACAAAACAGTAAAGAATAAAACCGACAAAACCAGAACATTGGAGACATTGTAGGTCTTCAAAAGTAGATAAAAGTCAACAAGAATGGGCGTCATAATGAATCTCATTATCTTTACAGCTGATGCCTAAACTTTCGAACCTGATACTATCCAGCAAAACAGAATAGGGGAACTTCAGTTAAAAACCAGATGGTGAGAGTAATACAGGGCTTTAAATCAAGGTAATGAAAAGTCAAAGTGGGTTACTATAATATATCCTGCTATTTTTTCCTTTAATTAAAAGGATAAAGATAAAAAAGTAAATAATGGGGTGGAGATTGAGATAAAAGAGGGCATAACAATGAAACAGCGCAGATCAAAACTTAACCATTTAAGCAGAATAGTGTTTCACCACCAGATAATCCTAACCTAAAAGTAGTTACCATATTGTCTCTTTCTTTGAAATCCTTGAGTACAACTTCGTATACTGTAGCATTAAGTATATCAAAACAATGTAAAACCATTCAAGAGAATGACAGCATTACAGAGTATTTAGAATCGACTAACAGAAAATGAACAATGGTTTCTGTATAATCTCCTTGTCTTTAAAAGGTTTTTGCTTATACTATCGTGCATAATAAAATCCAATAAGATACAGCCTATTTAGACCATTGGAGACAGAAGGACAAAAGTTAGATGAGACTTCAAAACAAGATGATACTAAATCAGTATTACCTATTAAGATGTCATTTTCTCCAAAATAGCTGTTCCTATCATCCAATCTTCTCTGCCTCATTTCTGTTGAGCTCTTTTTCTGTCAGTAGCTGTCAGTTTGTCTTCTTCATTTTGTTCTCTGCTCCATTCGTTGTGGCCTCCCCGCCAATATTTCTGGGTTCTTTGTATTTTTCTTTTTTTAGAATATCCTGCAATACTCTCTGTAGAGTTGAATTGGTGGTTGCAAATTCCTCCAGTTCCTCTTTATCCTGGAAGCACCTTGTTTTTCCATCAATTTCCAGGGACAGTTGTGCAGGATATCTCAATCTTGGCTGGAGATTATTATCTTTCAAAGCTTGAATTATTTCCCCCCACGCTCTTCGTGATTTGATGGTTTGTGCAGAGAAATCTGCTGTAATTCTGATGGGTGTTCCCTTGTAAGTGGTCTGTTTTTTGTCTCTGACAGCTTTTAATATTCTGTTCTTGTATTGAATTTCTGGAATTTTTATTATTATATGCCTGGGTGTTGCTCTGTTTGGGTTGTAGGTAGCTGGGGTCCTGTATGCCTCATACGTCTGAGTATCTTTACCTTTTGCTAAATTAGGAAAATTCTCCTGGATTATTTCTGTGAGTAGCTTTTGTAGTTCACTTGTTTGTGTCCCTACTTCTTCTTTTATGTTCTTAATCCTTAAGTTATGGATCCTCTTATCATCTTCTTGTCTTTGTATTATTGCTGTTTGTTTCTTTGTTATTTTTAAGAAGTTTTTCATTTCATTGTCCCATATTACAAGTCTGCCCTCCAGTTCAGATAGTCTGTCCTTAGTTTCTTTCAAGCTGTTATGCCAGTCTTCGATAGACTTCTTAGTATCTTGGTAGTCCCTTTGAACCTGCTTCACGTATTCTATGCTTTCTCTGTTTTCTCCATCAAACAATTCTCCCCTTTTTTTCTGTTCTTCCATTCCACCACCTGTTTTTTCTTGGGTGGTACTTAGCATTTCTCTAACTATTCTGCATACTTCTAGCTTCAGGTCGTTGATAACTTCATTCCTGAATTGGTCTATGAGGCTCTCTATATGGTGCCTTATGTATATTGGTGCGGTGTCTGCTATTGCCTGTTTCTCAGAATTGGGGGCTGAGGAGCCTTTCTTGTTGCTGCCTCTTCCCATGCTGCCTCTTCTTCTCTGTTCCTTATATATGCAAGCTTATATAAGAGGCCCAGCTTCTCTCCCAGTCAGCCACAGCCTGATCGAATTGCGCCAGTTAGGTGTTCCCGCTCACCGCTGCGCACCAGGGAGTTACGGACTGGGCAGCCTACGCGTCTCCCCTCCCGGCCACCGTCAGGCTCTGGGATCTGGGTTGGGACAGCCTACCAGGTCCGCCGGCAGCGTCACGCAGGCCAGGCACTTTTCACCAATCCCACCCGAGAGGGGGATGTGTGGCTGGAGTCACCACCGCGCCCTGCTCCCGCAGGACTGCTCGGGCCCAGAAAGTCCTCCGCTGGAGTCAAACTGTGGTAGAGTGTCAGTTTCTCTCACTCACCTCACCACAAGTCAGTGCACGCCTCCCTGCCATTCGCAGATTGCCGTTCTCAGAGCTTCTGCGCGTCTCTCTCCTTGCCGAGCTGCTGTGGAGGCAGCCAGCCGCCGCGTGGCGGGAAACCCAAATCGCGGCTTACAATGGCGCCGGGGTCGAGCCTCCACACCGAGGCTTTTCTGTTCCTGTTTTAGCACCAGGACTGCATTCCAAGTTGGTTTCTCTCAGCCCAGTTCGTTCCTGAGTCAGCAGAGCATATCTCCACCTGCTTATGTCTCCTTAGTCCGCACCATTCCTGGCTTCTGAGTCGAGTCTTTCAGAGAGCCTCCGGTAGTTGCTGTTATCTGTCCGCCATGTTCTCCCGGAAGTCCTGTTTAACTTTTAATAACACTGAGATTTGCCTCCTAGTAATTTGGCAATCGATTACAATGATGGAATGGTACTTGGCATAATGAGGGTTTTTCAAACTACATGAACTTATCTCTCTTAGTGCTACGTATCCAGAGCTGCAATTCGTAAGTTCACAATTTTGTGTAGCATGCTATATATCCAAAGAATCATAGACTTATAATTGAAATTTTGAATGAGTGTTATCAGGAAAATTTTGTGCATTTATGAACCTGTGCTGTTTCGGTATCTGAAACAGACCCCAGAATTGGATGAGAAGTTGAATGTTTTTAAAAAACCATCCACGTAAATCTCTCACCTGAAGGTTTCTGGGCAGACAGTAAACTATCACAATATACAACTACATATACGAGGCAAAGGGGAAATCATCACAGTCATATACTTCACTTGGCGATGCCTAAGGCTAGTGGGTATTGTGGAAAGTTCTCGGCATTTAGCCTCAGTTGAGTATGTCAGATGGCACACTTCTCTAAAATTTCCAAATGGCTGTTGGTTTTCCTAAAATACATCAAGGGATTTCTTAGTGTCTGATGACTTCCTAAATCTGCATTTTAAGGTGGTTAACAATGGTCATTAGATCTGTTGCATGTACATTTAGCCCAGGATATATAGACAGACAGAGATTCAAAGTCAGCATCTTTTTATTACTTCCTATGTGCTGAAGCTATAGTTTAATTTTAAAGCTTCACACATTTTCATTTGTAAAATGCATATAATGCATATCCCTCACAGGGGCGTTGGAAAGTTTGTGAACAACAGTTCCCAGCACACAGTAAATGTTCACTAAATAGAAACCTTTATTTTAATTTTTATACTTAGCACTTGGTACATGATAAACATAAAAGGTAATCATATTACCTTTCCCTTTGTCTCTTTTTTGTTTTTTTCCCCACCAGGAAGTTTGTGTTTTGAATATTCTTAAGAATTTTCTCAGTGAGGAGAAATTCTAGATAAGAATAGTTCATTTCCTAAAGAAGTTCAGCTATCAAAATGCTAAGAATGATGCTTTGTGGGACAGTCTGTTAAGCATAAATCATATGTTGTGTTATGTTTATCATATGTAAGTTATTTACATATGTAAGTTATACTGCAATTCTCAAGTCCTGTGTTAGCTGTAAAAAGTTACAGGATAATTTCTACCTGTAAGGTTCAGAGAATGGAGCTCCTTTGATTTTTCCTGGCACCATATCCCACTGGGATGCCTTTAGGGGATGGCAACAAGGACTCAGTATTTGACCATCCTGTCTTTGGTTCCCCAATTGTGGTTAAACCTACGCTTGCATCTCTCTTTCTTTCAAAATACTTAATAACTTTTTAATTCTTGCTCTATAGTCTATGCCAAACATTAAGGTTGGAGTTTGCCCCTCACTTTATTACCTAATATACTGCATGAAACTAATCTAAATCATAAAAAATAAAATATTTTTTTAAAAAAGAAACTAATTTTTTCTCACATTAAGAGAGATCCTGCTTCCTGTGTCTCTGTACCTTTGTTTCCAGTGCCTTTGCTATCTTCTCTCCTTTCTTTTCAACAGCATAGATGCTGTCATCTTGTAAAACCTGGCTGAAATTTTTGCTGTTCCTTTGAACTACTCAGTCCTTGTTGGTTTGCCTGTCTGCTGAAGGCACTTATGAGCTGCACCATACAATGGAAAATTTTTATTGATTTCTAGTGGTTCTGTAATAATAATTTGTTTAACATAAAAATACCTCATATTCACTTTTATGATGCTGTGGTTCCTGGCATACTATCGCTCCTATAATAGTGATTAATAAAATTATTGATTAAAGAATACATGATCTATTTGTCTTTAGGTTTTCTGTAGTTTTATAACAGGACATGTCGATGTCGCTCCCGGCCGGCAGGAAGGACACACGACAAAGTCTGGCAGTGGACAACCTTTTCTTTTATTTTCTCTCCATACAGCCTGCCCTGGGATCGCTCCCAGCCGAAGCCTCCTCTGGTCCGCTCCCCGCGGCTCCTTCCGTGCTTCGCTCCGAAGCCTCTACCGGTCCGCTCTCCGCGGCTCCTTCCGGGCTTCTACTTCCCCCCAGGGGTGGCACCAGTATATATACGGATACAGTGTCCAATCATATTAAAGTAAGCAAGGCAAGCTGATTGGCTAACATATTATTGAGCGGGTTGTTTACGCGGTAAGCAGGAAACTAACGTGCTCGATGGGAGGGGTAATCTAACTCAGGCTTTACTCTTTACCACAGGCCGCATGATCGCTATATGCGGCGGCTCGGCAATGTGGTGGCTCCCAACATCTCCCCCTTTTTTATTTTAAATAAGTCTACGCATCGCAGCCCGTCCTGAATTGAGTGTAGAGGCCTATGCCCTGATAGGAGGCCCACCAAGGGCTCTCGGCGTCGGCCCGGGTCAGCCGTCCCCGAGTCTGCCGAGGCCCCGAGGCCCTCGTCCTTTTTCCAGGGCCAGGAAGGAACCGGACGGAACCTGGATGCACACAGGCATACACTCATGTCGCTCCGCATGATCCCCCCGGGGCGACATTTGGTTTGGGCAAAACCTAGTAATTCAGCGGCTTTCGTGCGGTATGGGGTAGGGCCTGTCTTAGGTTGAGTCATGCTGGGGAGGCATGCTCTTACCCGTAATTGACTCATCTACCCTGCTATATCATAATTTTTTAGAGGAGGAGTGTGGGAAGCTCACCGCCCCTAGACTCGGTCGTAGGCTAGGCGAGCGAGCCATGCATATGCCTGAGGATCTTCTTGTCCATTTCGGGCTACCGCTATTTCTATTCATCTTGTTGGTTGGTCTGTGATGGATCTCCGGTAGGGCAGGTCTGATCTTCAGTCGAGGGCTTTGTCGCCCGTGTCAGTCTCTCCGGTACCCACAGTGGTTCTCGTCCCGATTCCTGCAGAAAAACACAAACCGCGCCTCGGTTCCAGCTGATTACCGGATCCGGGCCCATCCATTGTCATGCCATAGATAACCGCGCCTTTGGAGGCAGGCCTTGGCTTACTCCCCCTTTTTGTTTTTTATTTTTTATTTTTTATTTTTATCTTTTTCGTTTTTTTTTTTTTTTTTTTTTTTTTGTTATTGGTACCAGGGATCGAACTGGCGATTGCCTGCTTACAAGGCAGGCGCTTATGCCGCTAAGCTAAATCCCCAGCCCCCATTTCCTCGACCGGCGTTTTTCTCAGCCTGCTCGGCAGAGAACTCTGTGTACCAGGCTCGCCAATCCAGGTAACTACCCGAGGGCAGACACGCCTTTGCCAGCTGAATCCAGTCCGCGGGGGTGAGGGGCCCAGAAGACAGGTTCTCCAGCATGGCAATGGTGTAAGGCGCAGTCGGCCCAAAGGTTGTAACTGCATTTTTAAGTTCTCTAATCTGCTTTATCTCAAAAGGCTCCCATGCATTACGTCCCTGGCCCATAGCTACTTGTACAGGAAATATCCCGTAGGGGCCACTATCTATCCCAGGTGGTGGATGTACCTCATGAGACAAATGTCCCCCCTGCCAAAGCCGCCTGTAAAAATACCGACCCGCCGGCGGCGGAGCATAAGACAGCGGCCGTGATTGGGCGGAAAATGGGGGCCCGTGCATCACTTCCTGTTCTGGCGAAAGGGGAGGGAGCTCCCACGCGGCTGCCTCGTGGCGAGGGATCGCTTCCGGGAACAGCCCCCAAGGTGGGGCGGAAGGCTTCGCCTCCCTCTCGCGCCAGGGGGCGCTCAGGAGCTCTCTACTCCTCCGCAGACCAAGTTGAGCGGAGCGCAATTCGCGGCGCAATGCTGGGAAAGAACCCTGCGACTCCTTATCGAGCGGCCTATCCTCTTGGCATCTAGGCTCCTTGGTCTCATCGTTGTCTAAGCCTTCCTCGTTCTCGGAGTCAGACGACTCCGAGGCCTGAGCCCCGTCTTCCTCCTTTATATCTTTGTCTCCTTTGACGGACCCCTCCCGGGAGCTCCCTGACTGGGCCTGTTCGAATGCCCTACGCACTTTAATGAGCTCTTGAGAACCTTCCCTGCAACCACCCTCGCTCTTCAAGCATGCATATATCATTTCCCACAGTGGCCGAGCGAAGACCGAAGCCCCGCCCTCCCTTTCCGCTAGAGAAAGATCCCTGCCCAACTTTTCCCACGAGGGCAGGTTTAAGTGCCCTGTGGGCAAGAACCAGGGAGCGAAACTATCAATCTCCTCAAAAAAGCTCTCCAGCGTTTTGCGTCCCACCTTGAGGTCTCTGGACTTTAAGAGCTTCCGGAGGACCTGTACCAAGGGCTGGGTGTCGTTACTCGGTACGTTACCCATATTTAATATGTTACTCACCGCGTGAGGCCCAAAAATCCGCCACTTACGCGTGAGCCTGAGGGGAGTCTAAAAACCCTGTAGGTGCGCGCCACCCAGGGCCCAGGTTTATCCCCTACTCACCTGTCTCGCAGTGCTGTATCAAGGAACGTTGTCCACTACCACGTCTCGGGGGTGATCAGTTGTTCCCCGTACGGGCCACCAAATGTCGATGTCGCTCCCGGCCGGCAGGAAGGACACACGACAAAGTCTGGCAGTGGACAACCTTTTCTTTTATTTTCTCTCCGTACAGCCTGCCCTGGGATCGCTCCCAGCCGAAGCCTCCTCTGGTCCGCTCCCCGCGGCTCCTTCCGTGCTTCGCTCCGAAGCCTCTACCGGTCCGCTCTCCGCGGCTCCTTCCGGGCTTCTACTTCCCCCCAGGGGTGGCACCAGTATATATACGGATACAGTGTCCAATCATGTTAAAGTAAGCAAGGCAAGCTGATTGGCTAACATATTATTGAGCGGGTTGTTTACGCGGTAAGCAGGAAACTAACGTGCTCGATGGGAGGGGTAATCTAACTCAGGCTTTACTCTTTACCACAGGCCGCATGATCGCTATATGCGGCGGCTCGGCAATGTGGTGGCTCCCAACAAGGACAGACAAAGCAGAAAATATGAAGTCAACTCAGATAATTCTAATAGGCCATTTTAAACTTTTTACAGCAAAGAAAATAATATTTTATAGAACAATTAGACTGAGAGAACTCATTCCTGCAGTGTGCAGAAGCCAGGCCTTGGTAGACAAGGGAAGTCTTCTCTTTTAAGCATGTGTCCTATGCACAGCAGTATTGCTTGTGTGTTACATAACACTTTATAGATTTAAAAACACTTAATGCATTATCTCATTTTATGTTTTTGTGCCACAGAAAAGCCCCTCATACTCACAATTTATGTGTTATACTGTGGTTAAAGAAATAAAATGCAATAATCAAAAATGATTATAAAATTTGCTCAAATATTTTACTTGTTTTCTTAAAAAATTAGGAAATCAATTCATAATACTTCATAAAGTCCTTTAATATTCATTTCCATCACTCTCTGCCAGTGATCCAGAATTCTTTCTCTGTGATTTCTTTTAACCTCGTAGACATCAAACCTCACACATCTTCTCTTTCACAGCCCCACCCTCCTCCCTCTCTTTTGCCGTACATGTGTGCACATATGTGTGAGTGTGGCTACCAACCTAGTGCCTCTCCAACAAGGAAGAACGTGACATTTGTTGCACAAAGAAGATGGAGGCAATCAAAGGGAAAATTACAGGGTTATAATAGCCAACTTTGAACACTTCTGTGTTAACTTTGTCATGTAATTTTTATAAGCATCTTGAAAGATAGACATAATTAGCCCATTATTATAGATAGGAAAACTAATGCTAAGGTAGCTATTTGCCCAAGGTCACCAAGTCAGTAACGAAGTCTGTATTTAAAATTTCTTTCTGACTCCAAGTCTAATAGTTATCTTTCAATTATATCACAGCTAGTTCCTAGTTATCAGAAAAGTCCCTGGATTCTAACTGAATCTAAATTTTCTGGATTCTAACGTTTCTGGATTCTAACTGATACTTTTTGATGTCAACTAACACTGTGGTTTGAAAACAATACATTTCTGAGAATATCTTACCATTGTAGCATGTAAAGACAGTTTTAGTACATATCATTAGCAACTTAAGAATTGGCATGAGCATTAACCACTGGTTTACTGAGGAATAAGTGGTCAACTTGGTGGTTTTCTTAGGTCTCAGTTTAATCCCATTCAGCTAAACAATTATTACATACCTGCTACCCCCTACTGTGATTGCCATGGTGGGATATCAGGTGAGCAAAGGTGTTCCTCCCATTGTCAAGGAAATTGCAATATAATGGGAAATGTTGGCAATAGAGATGACTCAATGCCGAATACAGGCATGATTAACATGAAGAGTTACAAAAACAAGACATTTTACAACAGAAAAGAAAAAATTAAGGAAAATTCAACACATTGATTCTTCTTTAGAACAGTAATTAACCATATTAAACTTTTAGGGAAATTTTATAAGTACATATATACACATATATAAAATATAAGTACAGTAATATTTTTTATGCATTGTTACCCTATTGAAACAAGGGAATGAAACTCCCAAACTACTGTATGCCCGGTTCTCTATGTATGCCTCATGTTCTCTAAAATTGGAGAATGAACTTTAGGAACAATGGGGACTAAGAGCAAAATATATTTATTGAGAGAAAGAAAGCTTCTCTCTGAGAGATAGATAGAAGGGGTCCTGAGCAGTTGCCAAAGACTGTCTTTGCTAGGAACTTTTATAGTGTAAAATCACAAGGTGAGGTGGGTCCAAGGTAGGGAAAACCTGGAACTCACAAGATGGGCATAAGGTGGGACAGAGCTATAGTTAACCAATACGGTTAATTGCTCAGGTAAAAGTGATTAAATCAGGGACAAATGGGGAAGTGAGTCACACAGCAAGCAGCTTGTAGAGGGTTGGAATGGTAACTCCTGGCTTTCTCAGGGTGAGAGAGACCTATTTAGAATATCAGTTCTTAGGATGTAGGTACCTTTGTTTGATCTTTTGTCTTCAGGCCTGGTCCATAGCAGGGGGTATCCATCCCCCAACAGTTGCAAGGTATCTGGGCTCCTGCACTGGCTCCTTCCAGGACCTAACCCTGTTTGAGGGCCTGTAGTATTTCTAACTCAAGTTGCCTGTATCAATCCCCGCTCTGAAGAAGGAACCAAAACTGCCATGAGAAAATAATGAGTGATGACTTATCTGGCCTCTTAAAGCAGAAGGGGCTTGTAGTTGTTGAATGGTAGTTAGAGATACTCTGCAGAGGTTTTATCTAATGGCCCTCAAATAGATACCAGGCTTCTTTATCTTGTGTAGGTATAGTTTTAAATCTGGCGAAGACAAAGGCAAAGAAATAGTTAATATGCATGGGCCAAATAATAGAATTATTAGGATAATTATGAACACAGTTAAAAATATTTTTTACCAAGAGGAGCTGTACTTAACTCCTATAAGGAAAAAGTCCAGAGAATTTTAGAATCTAACATATCATCTAATATCTTGACCAGCTATTGAGATATTAGCAAAAGGGTCAGAAATGTACACACATTTAGTTTTTACAATTGCATGAGTACCTCCTGTGCTGTTGTTAGAATATCTAATGTGATTTGATTTTGGGAGGATTATCTTTCTATTAATTTTTATTTTTTATTTAGGAGAGAGAGGGAGAGATCAGCTGTGGTGTCATTTAAGGCCTGCTGAGGATAGTTAGTGTAGCTCAATATGTGCATATAACTTTTTTTCTGGACAAGATCTGGTGGATCACAATAAAAAGAATCTAAAAGGAATGTATTTGTTATTGGTTTTATCTATATAATGCCTTGGGGATTTGACACCGGTTAGGCAACAACAAATTATAATCAAAGCATATATAATCAAAATATGTATACAAAGATATATAATCAAAGCATGAGCAGCAGGGCTGACAGGTAAGTTTAGAAACTGTTTCTAAGTAATAGCAGTTGTAACCCATTGGCTCTTAAGTCCTTTTATTGATGGAGTCTGACATTTTGTCATAAATCTCCCTAGCTTTAGTTATAATTATCTCTAAGTTTTTGATAACTTATGAGAACCAGATTAATATAATTTTGACAAATGAAAAGCTCTCTTTTTGTTTTTACACATGAACAACAATATGTACTGTATAAAAATCAGTCTTAGCATCATTTTGATTAGTTAGCAACTTGCCATTTTGTTGCCAAAATATATATATTTGGCCTATATATAAATTTTGATGGATATTTATATCCATCTATCTAACTCAGTTGCCTGTATCAATCCCCACTCTGAAGAAGGAACCAAAACTGCCATGAGAAAGTAATGGGTGATGACTTATCTGGCCTCTTAAAGCAGAAGGGGGTTGTAGTTGTTGAATGGTATATATAGGCATTTACACATGACAAAATATCTCCCCAGGATTGGAGTCAGGCTTTTAGGCATAACCAGAAGGAATGAGTGAAGAGATATATTTTGGTGACTGTATTGAGGTACAATGCCTGGAAGGAAGAACAGAGTTGAGAAAGATAAAGACATACGTGCCAATGTCCAGCAGTAGGTTGGTTGGGTTTTTTTTTAACCTCTTGTCATGATTACTCAGGGCTTCTTCATGGAGATTACAGGCAGAGATGAAGGTCTGACCAGAGGGAGAAGATGAGTGCCCCGAGGTCCTTTAGACTTACTGGACCAGCTGATAAGATGGCTCTGATCTCTGAGGCCTTTGCCTCAGAGGGCAAGTTTGACCTATAGTGGTCACCTTTGCAGTTAAGGCATGGCTTGGGGGCCTCTTAAGGCGGTCCCTCTTAAAATGGCCTGGCTTGTGGCAGCGATAGCAGGTTAATGTAGCCTTTTAGGTCTTCTTGGGACCCCAAGAATCAGACTTAAGGTCTGTGGTTTTTTTAAGGCCACAATAAAGGCAGCCACTTTTTGGTGTCTTTGTTTTCTCTTTTTGGTTTTCTCCCAGTCCTGACTATAGAATACTAAGGAAGTAGTTTTTACTAAACAATCAAGAGAACTATCTGGAGGTAAGGCTATCATTTGCAGCCTTTTTGTAATGTCTGGAGTTAACTAATAATAAACATGTCTTTAAGCAAAATCTGTCCCTCTATTGATTCTGGATCCATGGAAGTATATTTCATCAATGCCTCTAAAAAAACAATCCAAGAAGTCAGAAGGGTTTTCATCTTTCTCCTGAAAAATAGCTGACAATTTAAAATAATTAGAAGGCTTTGTTTTCATCCTTTTTAGACCTTGGAGAATACATACTTGAAAATGTCTCCTGTTCCAATCTCCTGTATTGTTCTCAGGCCAGTTGTGGTCTTAGATGAGAACTGCTTGTGTACTAGAGGGAAGTGGTGGTTCCCCTGTCTATGTTCCGGCCTTTAAAATTAACAATATGATATTCATCCCCAAAGGCAATAACAGATTGTAATGCTACTTATCTCTCAGTAAATGTTTGATTTAAGAGTAACATTACATCTTTTCAGCCTAACTCATAAGTCTGAGTAAATCCTCTAAAGGTATCTATGTATGTATCAGGGGTATCTGAAAATCTTTCTAGTTCTAGCTTAATTTGTTTTAAGTCACTAACTAAAGAGCCGTATGAATAGGGGTAGTCTCCTAAGGACTATAATTATACCTGGAGCCTAACTAAGAATTATCTCTTAATGTAGAGAAGATTTCAACATAAAGCAATTCTGACCATTGTTTATCTTTCTTATGGTATGACTTTAGTTGTAAAAGCACATCATAATTAATCTTTCCTTCTGTATTCCATTTTGGCTCTAGGAGGTAGGGAGGCCACATCCACATGCAGAGAAATATTAAACAACTCTTTTTCAACATGGAAGGGTTGAACATCTTCCAGTGCTTAAGAATGTATTTCCAAGGAGTGAGGGGCTTTGGCAATAAGTTGTCCATGTCTGTAATGTAAAAAGCAAGGCATAAGGGTATGAAACCATTTTTGTTTTTGCTTTGGTACCAGGAATTGAACTCAGAAACTTTCACTGAGCTTTGTCTCTAGCCCTGTGGTGCAAGAAATGTCCTGAAGGTGCCCCCCCCCCCATTGATTTCACTCCAGGGGAGGTGGATGCCTTCTGGAGAGAGTAGAAGATAAATTCATCCAGCTTATCTACCTTCAGCCTTGTGCACAATCTTATCTTCCCCAGTAGCTCAGGAACTTTGTTTCCATAAACCTAGTTGTGGCAGGAATGCTTAAAGAATGAAGCATGACTTTATAATAAACTATTGCTTTTTGCTTATTATAAAAAGGTAAGTTAGAGCATTTCTCTGTTCTGTGAAGACAATTCCCTCAGAAATAGATAAAGACAACAAATAAACTTAAGGAACTCTGCCCTGGGCCCTCAGTCAAAGTCTCTACGACATTTGTTTCTTATATCTGATTACCTAGAGAATCTTTGCTAGCAGGGGGCATGGCTATGCTTTATTTGAAGTTCACAAATTAAATGTATTTATTATCTATCCATTACATTTTACTTGTTAGTAAAGGCACGTAAGTCTTTTAAGCACACAGAAAAGGCTTTTTACTCTTAACTAACATATGTAAGGCACAAATGTACATCATTCCCCTACTAGTTTCTTTGAAATGTAAACAGCTATTGCAGGCTGCCTCAGTTCAATTTCTGAAAGAGGTAATCCAACTTACTGAAAAGTTTAGAGAACATCTTTAGTTTACTAGTGGAGAGAAATAAGTAGACAGGCAAGTGGAGATTTTCTGTGGTTGGGGCACCAGTTCCTACTGAGGAAACCTTGGGTGTCTTGAACAGTTGTTCTCAGTTTGTACTGGCTCACACAACCACAGACACAGACTCCAAAAAGGAATCCAGCTGTCTGTCTGGTCAATATTCCATTAATTCTATTGGCCACTGGATTTATCAAATGGGGATTTACCAAACAGATGCTGGGGAAATCTGTCCTCTGCTTTTAAGAGTGACAGCTACTAAAGGATCAATTAGCTGGCAGAGTAACCACTAAGTTCTATAAAAGATAATTCAAAGCTTGAGCAAGGTAAGATCATTACCTAGTACTCTATAAATTTACAATAAAGTTCTAATGTCCACAATTTGAAAGGTTGGAAAGCCTCCTTACTCTAAATGTGTTTAGGTCCTGTAAGTATGCTCTTTTTGGAAATAGCTCCTTCTGGTTTCACCCAGAAGTTGGTTCTTTCCACTGCATCTCAGATTCAAACTCCAGAGAAGATTTCCCCAGAATACTAAGCTGGAACAGGGCTTTTATGTGTGTCCTCCTGGATGGGCAAAATTCTGATGTCTCATCTGACCCAGAGATAAAGTATGTAAAGTATCTACGATGATTTCCCTATCTTTGGCATTAACAAATATTCATTTTCTATGGGTTTAACTCAGAAGGAAAAGGTTGGGACAGCTTAGAGTTGTTTCTGATTTTTACCTGCCTCTATAAGGAGTGTACAAAGAGGGGGAAAGATTAGAAATAAAATCAAAGAAAGGAAACTGAAGCAGAACAGGCTTGACACTTCCTCTAGAGTGTGGAGGAGGATAAGAGCCAGTCCATCCTAGTGAAAACAAGACCTGAGGCCAGCTACTAACCTAGCACTACTTAAATGGTAGAAGAAGTCCTGGTTTTATTTTAGGCATGTATATTTTCTAAGTCTGAGCTAGATTTTATTTAAAAAGAACCATTTTACAGAAGTGTATATTAAAGTCTGGTGTTCTAATATTATCTCTAGTTTTTAAATACAGTCAAGCATGGAGTACCGGTAAATTTGGCAACTAATTTAAATGCTGCATGTACAAGAACAAAATAATTAAAATGTACCGTTAAAGAAATATAACCTTAACCATGCATGGTGGCTCATGCCTGTAATTCCAGCACTCAGGAGGCTGAGGTGGGAGGATCTTTGCGCGTTCGAGACCAACCTGGGCTACAAAGTGAGCTCAAGGCCAGCCTGAACTGCATAGTGAGACTCCTGTCTCAAAAAAAAAAAGAAATATTATAACCTTAAAACTTTCCCATGTTTTAACTTAGATGTATGATCATTTTAACAAAACTATATAAAAGGCAAGGCAATTATAAACAATGGGCAAAGAAAAAGCAAAATTTAAAGCATAAAATTTTGTTGCCAAAGTGAGTCCCAAATCCAGAGTCTATGAAACAGAAGCAAACTTACCTCCATCCAATGATCTCAGTGGAAGACCTTCAAATGATATAGAGCAATGAAACTGCCAACCTATTATATGTCTGGTATGAGTTTGGGTTCTCTAAAATCAAAGAATGAATTTTAAGAACAATGGAGTTTAAGAGCAATATGTAATTATTGAGAGAAAGAAAGCCTCTGTCTAAGAGAGAAACAGATGAGGTCCCAAGCAGGTTGCCAAAGACTCTGTCTTTGCTAGGGAGTAAGATCACAAGGTAAGATGGGTCCAAAGTGAGGAAAATCTGGGACCTCTCACAAGGTGGGCATAAGGTGGAACAGAACTATGGTTAACAAATAAGGTTAATTGCTCAGGTAAAATTGATTAAATCAGGGACAAATGGGGAAGTGAGTCACATAGCAAGCAGCATGTAGAGGGTTGGAATGATCACATCTAGCTTTCTCAGGGTGATAGAGACTGATTTAGAATATCAACTCTTAGGATGTAGGTGTCCTTGTTTGACCTTTTGTCTTGAGGCCTGGCCCACAGCAAGAGATGTCTGCCTCATCCACAGTTGTAAGGTATCTGCGCTTCTGCACTGGCTCCTTCCAGGACCTAGCCCTGTTGACTGCCTGGAATATTTCTATCTAACTCAGTTGCCAGTAACCCTATGTTCATTACATACATGCCTTCTTCATTTTCATGTTAATCATTGTGTCTAGATAGATTGTATTTTCAGATATCTGTGATATCAGATGCCTACATTCATATTTAATATGCACATTCATCCAACAATTAATTTTGTTTTATAGAGCTTTTTAGAAGTTGATTTTACACCTGGTGGATTTTGTTATTCTGATTTCAAAATGACAAGTAACACAGTAAGTATAAAGTGAGAGAGAAGAATCTGATGTGTTACCTGATCTGGAGTGAGTGTGACATGCCGAGTAGTCCTTTAAATAGCTGCAGAGGAAAGCAGATGCCACAATTTTCCTTGAAATATAGCTTAATGAAGGAGAAATGGTCAGGCTATTTAAGGTTTTGATGTTGTTATGACTATATTTTTGTTGTCATAATTCAGCTTTCCCACAACCCCACTGTTAGCTAAAAATATCTCAGTTCAAAAATTCTTTTGAGTGATTATGACTGCATTGGCATCCCTCAGGCTCTAAAAAGTGCCAACAAGTATGTTTTAGGTTTCAAAATAGAGTGTCTATCTGGTTTTCTTGAGGCCAATTTTTTTCTTTACCTCTGGAATATTACAAAAGCACTATAGGAAGGAGAAAAAGTCATCATGGGAGAAAAGAACATGCTAACTTTTTGTCTTAGTTACTTTTCTCATTGCTGAAACAAAATATCTAACATCCAAAGTTAAAGAAGGAAAGGTTTATTTAGCTCACAATTGATAGAAGTTTCAGTTAATAGTTGACTGGCTCCAAGGCAGAGTGCCATGGCAGAGTGGCCATCACAGAAAAATAGGACAACAAGCACAAGTCAGCAAAACAGCAAGAAACAAGTGACATGTGACAAGCCTCTTTCTGTCCCTTATGTTTTATCCAGGTTACCCACCCTTAGAGAAGGTAGTCTCATACCCTTAATCCTTGCATCCCACCCTTGATCCCAGCATCACACATCCTAGATGCAGCCACCTCTGAAAAGCCCCACCTACCACTACATGAAGGCTTTGGGGGACATCTAGATACAAGCCATAACACTTTTAAAAAATGATAATATCTTAAGTTATAGTTTCTAAAGAAAAAAATTAACATCATCTGGTTCCCAGTAGCCAACACTAGAAGCATGACACTGGTTGCTTTACTTTCCATTCAATATAGCCCTCTTGATATAAAATTCCTCTGTTGAAGCATGTAAAGTTCTCCTAAAGACAGATATTTCCTTCATAAGCCTGGATCTCAGCTTAGACTTTACCATTAATAGAACACGAAGTTTTTGGGTTTTGATCTTTTGAAAAGGAACAGAAAAGGTGCTCCATTTCAACCTCTTCTTCATTGGCTTTTCCATGTTAATCCTGGAAATTCCTCTCTGCATCCCCAAGTTTGTGGACAGCAGTTGTGGAGTAGTCTACCTGAATCCAGTTACCTGGACTGGCTACCATGAGGTAGATACCAACTTGAGTCCTCCATTGGCTGTCTTCTCAAGCATTGTTTCTGATATCCAGTGACTTGGAAATGTCCAGTTGCTTGAGTTACAAAAGTCATTTTTCATTTCAGCTCACCTTTCTGGAGGAAGAAGCAGAGTTCAAAGAGATGATGACCATGTGGACACGCCAAAATAGAATCCTTTTGGTAGTGGTTTAACAAGATGGGCATTTACTTAGACTAAGCAGGAGTGCTTCCTGAAGGGAATGTTCAAAGAGGACCCATAATAGAGGTCTCTGCAGGAGAAGTGGCTGCTTTTCATCTTTTGGTCTAGTTTATTTCAGCTCAATTTATTCATTATTTCATTAGCTTGTTTTCAGCTCCTCTGGCAGCTCCACAGGATGCTGTTTTTGTGCAGGAATAAGAGGCCTAATGGAGCCTTGACAACAGAGGAAAAGAGCTTCAAGTAGTCCAGATAGCTTTGTTCAGCAGCCCTATTCATAGAAATTCCATATTGCATCCAGAACCTCAGCTCTGATGCAGAGACTGGTTAGTTGCATGTCTGTTATACTGATGTTTGGGCCATAATAACCTGAGTCTCAAGTTTATACTTAGGGAGTATGACAGCTATGCTTCTTATTGTTAGAGAAAGATATCCCATTTGTGATAAACTAGAAGCTAAGACCTCATGTTGATTTTGCTTTTCATAAACATAATGTCTGAAAATGCGTAATACTGTTGGTAATCATGAAGCAAATCCAATTAACCACACCATCATTTTGTTCAACAGCCTCTCCTAAGAAAATCTGTTAAAAGCTTTACTGAAATGATCTAAGTATCTACAATTCTAGAAATTTTGGAATTTATCTCAGACTGAAAACTAAATTGAGGTCTTTAACACATAAAATACATTTGTTATTTTTCTTTTTTGTTTCATCATTTTTATATTTTAATCCAATGGTAATTCATATGTCTCTTCTCTGTGTGTTCTGCGTGTTATGAAATCTGAACCTCAGAGCTTAGACAACTTAAAAGTCAACACAGTCAAGAAAATTTAATGGTGAGATATCAGGAGTCACAATTTTATAACTTATCAACATGCCGTGGACTGTTCAAAACTGGACAACCCAGAATAACAAATATCTACTATAATAATATTTTTTATCTCCCTGGAACACTATTTAAGCAACACTAATGAAATGATTACCCTGTGCTTCATGGTTATCAAAATTCATGAAGTACTATTTTCTCTCCACCCTCTCTCTCTCTCTCTCTCTCTCCTGGATGTGCTTATATGAAAAAGTCTCTTCTAGAACCAAGACCCATCCACAAACTAATCCATGGCCTGAGAAATATCTTTGTGCCCATTTTGACCTTACATTATAAGGAGTTCAGGTTTGCTGGTTATTTACATTCTGTGAGTTAACATGTAGAATATTTTGACCCTCTTAATAGATGGAATCACCATGTGTTGTTCCTTTTATTATGCTATAGTTTTCTAAACACATATAAATACTTCCTGCGCTACCTTTTCTGTTTTACCTTTCTAGGTGTTATCAAGAGCCTAATTTTAAATGCAGGATTATTATAGTTAAAAAAGGAACTCTAGAAGCTGCTAGACAGAGAAAAGCCAATTTCTGTTATTTATGATGGTAAGGCTACTGAAAACTGAGGATTGTCATCCAACTCATTCTGTTTTTCTGCTCTCTGAACTTTAGCTCTCCTATGTTGACTGAACCTTTAGGTAGTAACCACTTATTTATAGATTTTTAGCAGCTGAGGATTCTGCTGAACAAGAGGCTACATGACATTCACTCTGGAGTGAATTTTTTAGTTCGTAAGAATTTCCCTACAGTTTTAGTTCAGTTACTTGAATCAATAGCATGGTGTCAGAATTTTTGGAAAATGTAAAAGGAAGACTGAATGTTTTGCCTGCTATAAAAAGTAGGACTTATTATGGTCTACGATAGGAATAGCAAATGAGACAGGTATTTGTGGCAGTTATACTATGTATATATTGCTGCTTCATCGTAATTACATGAAGGAGTGTTTGCACGTTCACAAATGTGCTCATCATAGCTTGTGTAATGTGTAAGACACTCCATGTGAGCAGCAGCTGCTCAGATGTCATTTATAGCCTGTGAAATCTAATAATGTGAAATCCAAAACATATTCATTTACTCTGTGATCTTTTTATCTTCCTAAAGTAGATGCCTGTGTCATATCCCATTGACTTACTCCACTCTCAGATGCAACCCACAGACACATTTTAAAATCAAAGACAGGTAATAAGTTAGTTTAAAAAGTGATTCACTGCTGAAATTAAATATGTTTTGAGTTATTTGGGGGAAAGATACTATAAGTAAATCTAATAATAAAACAAATATATTACTCGTTAAAATACCCCTTAGCTAAAATGCTTAAATTGTCCAGTGAGTGGAAGACAGAGTAAAACATTTAGAGATGTTTGTATTTATATCAAAAAATGGTGGAACTCTATCTTATATGCTTTAATACCCACTATTCCATTTTTATGGATCATGTACAAAGCAACAATGTTTAATGTGGAAAAAGTGTACACTTTGAAACTGATTTGTTCTGGATTCAGATCCTCACTTTGTCACCTATTAGATGGGTGACCTTCAGAATCTTTAACTCTTCCTAAGTTTCAATTTTCTCATCTTAGTTTGAGTAAGAACTAAGCCTCATATAATTGTTGAAAGGTTATGATAATGCAGTTTTACAACCTAATATATGTCAAATTAATATATATATTGCAGTTTGAATTTCATCTCTCACTATTAGAATTAGAGAGGTTTTTTTCATGAAAATATCATGGCCAATCCAAGTTCTTATTTCACCATAATAAGAACTGGATAAATGGAGCACTTATTTATGATTATACACATATTTCGATGACCAGAGACTAAACCAATACATTAAACCACTCACTAAGACTTTAAATGTCTCTTAGACTTACATAGACTATCTTTGAGAAGAAATGTTGTAGTATTATTTCAATAAATTAATTCATTAATTTAATAATGATGAGTTCCACCCATATGAAGCTCTCAGTCCCAGCATGGTGCCTACCCAACATGACACTGGACCCTGGAAAGACAGCATATTCCTCCAACACTTTCTTCTGTGTTCTTCTTTGAAGCCCCAAATGAATTTCCTATTTTGTGTGCCAGTGCCAGCATCTTTCCAATCAGCTGTCAATATGTCTGCCCACCCCTTTAAACTCCATCCCTTGTCAAACCTAATAAAAACCCAACAACTTCTTTGTCCAACTCAGACAGACCTTGCACTCTTCTGGAACACTCTCTTGCCCACAATAAAGTCCTTTTCCCTTTACTGCCTTTTTTTCTACCATGCCAAAGAAACCTAACAAACCCACTTATTTATTATTTTTCTTCTTGATGAGACAAAAAACCCAATAACCAAAGTTAAAGGAGGAGAGGTTTATTTTTGGCTTACAGTTTGAGTTCCAGTCTACGGTTGGCTGGCTCTAAGGGAGGGTGGCAAGGCAAAGGATCACTGTAGAAAAGAAATAGTACATGGCAGGCCAGGTAGAAAGTGACAAGCAGCCAGCCTTTCTTCTGTTCCCCTTACATTCCATCTAAGCTATGAGCCTGTTGCTACATAAACGTAGGATGAGGCTTCCCATTATCCAGATCCAGAGCAATGCTAAAGCATTTGGTTGGCTAGTCTGATTACTGCACCATTAATCCATATTCTTGCAGCCTTAATCCACAGTCATACACCCTAGATGCAGCTACCTCTGAAAAGTTCCACCTCTAAAGAATGTATGAAGCTTTAGGGGGACAAAGATATAAGCCATAATAACCATCTTCCCCAAAATATTCAGTGAGAATATTCAGTGAGCTACGAAAATGAATATCAGTGTGTCTCTTTCAAAACTTTGTCTTCCCACGGACTTATCAATAGTATTGGAACTAATAGTTTTAGAGATGTTACTGATATGTTGGTTAATAATAGAATGTCTATGCCCATTTCCTTATCTTAGATACTCTGAATTTACTTCAAAAGACCAACTGTGTGAAATTCAATGTGGGCTTAATTGGCTAGTACTTTGTTCATTATGAGAGTCATGAATGGGACCAACTGATTATGCAGTTGAATCGTAACCACACACTTCTCAGACTGGAGGACAGAATAGTTGTGAATCATGATGTCTTTTAGCTGGTTAGGGAATGCACAATTTCATCTGATTTCACAGAAAATAACTGTTCCATAACTAACTATGCAAGATTTAGGCATCCTATATTCAATGTTGAGCATTCATATGATGTGGAGCTCAGTAGAGACTACCACTGACCACAAGGCCAAAACCACCCTTATACTAGCCACCACTAATATAAGTTATTTTGAGCAGCATGGTTTTTAAAAATTTAATTGAATATTTTTAAATATGGGTAATTTTATATAAAATTCATGACCTCTGGAATCTCTTTTAAAAATGAGATTTGACAACTCTGGGCCTTAATTTCCCACAAGACGACCACAGAAAAGTATGGAATGTACTTATTCTCACCTTGGCCAGGCCTGTGGTCTCCTATGCATCAAAGTCTCAATTGGCACAGTGGTCTGTTTCTCTTAGGGTGAACTTTGCAGTCATTAGAAATTTTGACCTCAAATTTAAAATTTGTTTATACTAGTAGCTATTGCACTAAATATTGAATAACCTTGTAAATAAAAGTGTAAATACAATATTAACTTTCATGATTGTAAATGAATTATATTCTAGGGCACCATCCTTTCATTACTTACAGCATAAAAATAAGAATGAGACTGATAGAATAGAGTAAGAATTGATGTTTTTGAAAAGTTAGAATGTGTCCATTTCTTTTTAATTTATCATTAATAATAATATGTAGACTAAATCAGGTTATAAGATTGCCAATGGGAGAAAAAACTGAAGAACAGGAGAGTGCCATATATTATAAACTGTTCCTATTCTGAAATTCAGTGTAATGTACTCATTTTATTCGGTATGATATATTATTTCCTTTCTGATGCTGATGTGGGTCAAATTGACCAAACATAAATACAGGGAATCTCTCTGGTGAAGCTTCTCAGTACAAGAAAATTCCCCCAGCTAGAAAGCAGGACTTAAGTAAGGCTTAATCCTCATGCCCACAGGTCTCAGGGTGTTGTGATGGTAATGCATACTGGAGGACAATGTTATGGTTTGTGTCTAAATGTCCCCCTAAAACTTCATGCAGACATGAGGGCAAACTTCTAGAGTTTATGATTGATTCATGCATGGTTCAGTGCTGGAGATATGGAGTGCTACATCCACTCTCTCTGGGGCAGGCAGTCTACATACAGTATAAGGGATAGAAACAGTCTTCTCTTATGGTCTTCCACTTTTGGTCTTGCTTTTTATGTCTTCTGCCACCATGAATGGTTACACTACTGCCATGTCACCCTGCCTTGGAGCCAGCTAATTATGATCTGAAACCTCTACAAACTGTGAGATAAATAAAGCCTTTCTTCCTTTATTTTGGGTGTCAGGTATTTTGTCTCAGCAATAAGAGAAGAGTAACCAAGTGGAATCATTGCTGTGACTATACCTGATCAGTAGATCAAGGGCCTTTGGGAATGGCTTGTGGAAAGAGTTTGGAAATGTTCTCAGATGTCACCTAAAAAATCAGAGTTGGAACACTTTAGGTTACTCTATGTGGGAGATTCTGATCAGAGCTCACAAGACCAGAGGGTAATAGATATCCTGCCAGTAAAGACCAGGCTTGGGAGGTTTCTGCTGAGAAAGACAGCATTGGTTGTTGGAGACCAGATGATGTGTTTTATGGCTTGGCAAACAGTTTGCTTGTGTCCAGAGATTTTCCCTGAGACTGAAATTAAGGGTGATGGACTAATTAATCTGGAAAAAGAAATTTCAAGGCAGTCTAATATTGAGACAGTGGCATGACTACTGTTGAGGATTTTTAGCTAGACTTATGCTGTGACTCAAGAGTAAAGAACCCAACGGAATTATTTAAGACATTGTGAATTTGGCCAGAAAGGAAGCTCCAGTAAAATTGTGGACTGCACAGATAGAACTGAGGAGATCTTGACTGCTGAGAAGAAGGAGAATATAAAAGATGGTCTAAGGGCATCACAAGAAGCAGCAAAACTCCACTCCTTGCAGTCTCAAAACTACAAAAGTGAAAGACTTTGACTTGAGGGGAAACCTACAGAGAGGACCATGTTCCAGAATGGCCGTGGCCAGTTTTTGTTTAATGGTGGTGGTGACCTACAGAATTTATTCTTCAGAATTAAATTCACAGTAACAGTGATATAGGCACTTGACCCCTATAGCTGAAAGAGAAGAAAACCGAGCTGCTGCCCCAGCTGGCAGCAGACCTTGGCATCATTCACATGGTGCTGGTTTTGGATGCAAGCAGAATACAAGAGTTCTGAGGTTAAAAAGGCTCCCACCCAGATTTCAGAGGAAGGTCTTAGAGCTCAGACAGTGTACCTCTGAGAGGGCAAGCTGTGAGGGTGAAGCCGAAAGTACAATGAAAAACAGAAATTTGGAAAAGCCAAGAATGTGGATGATCTAAGGAAAGCTGCAAGGATTGAGCAGAGTGGGCCTAAAAGAGAAGCAATGGGAGCTACAACCACCAGAAACTTCATAGGGGCAGTCGCACAAGCCTTTTGGAGCTCACAATTTGCCATAGATTTCTTTGAATGTTCCACAAGGAACTACAGCACTTAATATTTGCCCTGCTGGATTTTGGACTTGTTTTGGTCCCAATCTTTTGTATCCCCCTCTTCGTACCTTTTCAAGTAGTAATGTTTATGTTGTGCCGTTGAATGTTGGAAGTGTTTAACTTTTCATTTATACAGGGGCCCACGACTAACAGTTTGCCTTAGATCTCAGAGGAGACTTATGATTTGGGTTTTCAGCAGTGCTGAAACTGTTAGGACTTGGTAGCTCTTAGAGATGGACTACAATGTCTTTTGTGTAGAGATGTGCATGATTCTTTGGTGAGGCCAGAGACAATATGTTATGGTTTGTGTCTACATGTTCCCCCAAAGCCTCATGTTGTCATGGGGGGCAGGCTTTTAGAGTTTTTGACTGATTCATGATGCAGTGTTGGGATTATGAGTACAAGTGCTACATCCACCCTAGGGTAACATATAAGGGATAGGAATAGTCTCTCACACTCCTCCCTTTTTGGCTCTTGTTGCTTTTGCTGTCTTCCAGCTTTCATGAACTCATGAACCAGCCCCTCTGCCGTACCATTTTGCCTTGGAGCCAGCTGATTTTGGACTGAAAACTCCACAACCTGTGAGCTAAATAAATAAACATTCCTTTCCTTAGTTTTGGGATCTGGGTATTTTGTTTCAGCAATGAAAGAAAAGTAACTAAGACAAAGCAACAAAAACAATGAAGACAGACAAACAAAAGATTAGCTACCTAGATTTTATGTTTAGCAATTATGTAAAAAGCAAATGAGTCTCTTGTAAGTATTAATATTAAAATTGTTTTAATGTAGGCAAATATAAAAGTGAAGATTTCTAAAAATGACAGTGGGTTTTGTCAAAGTCAAACTAGGCTGAAAAGAAAAGCAATCACTATATAAAGTAGTTATTAACATCTCAAACATTAAACTGTAACCCTATAATTGTTTCTTATTTAGAGTGCTGAGCTGCTTCCTATCTTATGATACATGCACATATAGGAAGGAATGGTAACATTATTTAAAATAATGAAGAGGACAATAGAATCATAGAGCATATGGGCCAGTTTTCTGTCTTCAGATGAAAATCTGTAAATCCGTTTTTAATTAGTGTGCCATCATGACTGGGAAGAAAAGGCACAACAGATCTTGGTTCTTTTCCTTTTACTTCTTTCTAGCTTCAGTTCTTTCTTTCTAGATAGGAATTCAAAATTTTAAAAACCAAAGGAAACAGGGCCTTATGTTAATGAAAAACCCAACAGCGATATTCTTCATTTTGGACTCTGTTTCCCTATCACATGGCTGTGTATTCAATTTGGGAACTGAATGCTTCCAACAGGGACTTATACACATTATGTGGACCAAATCCTCCCAGAGATACAAGTGTAAATTACTTTACAAGAGGCAAGATATGACAGTTTATTTCCTTTACAGAAGGTATTGTTACATTTTGGTACTCAAAATGATGTTGTGTTGTTTGTTCTCATTTTTAAAAATGGAAAGAAAATATGTAACTTTAGAACTTAAGAAACATGGGAATACTTGCTTTGTCTTAGAATGATCACTTTTTTGTGATAGGACTGAGTGTTAACTGAAAGGTCTGCTTTGCTCATTGCAAATTATAGGCATGAGTTTTATAATAAAGAGTTGATTCATAAGATACTCATGAATGGAGGTGGGAGACTTGTGTCTCAAATTGTCTCCCAGAGGACAGGGTTTGGATATTGATGGAATAAGAAACCAGGCAGGGTTCAGTATGGGGAATGGTGATTGGAAGCCATCAACCATCTGCGCACATACAGCAAACTTCATGAGTCTTCATGGGACAGGGTCAGAAAATGGCAGCATTAACATGATCTAAGGGTGGAGCTTTCAGTCTCCTGACCACAGAATGAGAGCTTATGCAGATTTTCTCTTAGTTTCATAAGAAGAAATATCAAAACAAAGAAAGACATAGTGCCTGTCTTCAACATTCTAAAGTTTGCTTAGAACAAACAAGTCAAACTCACAAATCAGGCAGTTATGGAATGACATAAAATATAAAAATCTGGATAGTATTTGGTACTGTATGTTAATATTTGCTAATAATTATTTAATTCATTTACACTTTGCTTGACACTAGTTGTTTTTCTAAGTAATTTTATATTAATTCATGTAACTCTTACAAAAAGCTTCTAAGGAAGATGCTGTTGTTGATATCACTGAATGGTGATGATATTTGCAGCCCAAAGAAGCTAATAATTTGTCTGAGATCACAAAACTAGTCAGTGGTAAAGCTGGGATTTAAACAAAATGATCTGGTTAAGATGACTGCTTATGTTATTGCTCTATTTTGTATTTGCTTTAATATCAGGAATGTTATCAACTTAAGATATGTACAAGCTCCCCACACCTGTTTTATACCTCAGTGCAGAAAGGTTGGCCACAGACAAAGCCTTCCATCTGGCTCACGAACTCCAATATGAAACAAGAATCCATGTGCTTTTAAAAGGTCTGGGATACTTAGAATTATTTTATCACATGATAGACAGAAGGAATATTTCAGGTGTCTCTGAAAACCTCAAGGTTTGTATCCCTTTTAGAAAATGTAGTCAGGCATGGTGGTGCACGTCTGTAATCCCAGCACTGAGGAGGCTGAGGAAGGAGGATCTTGAGGTCAAGGTCAGCCAGAGCTACATAAGGGAATTCAAGGCCAACCAGCACTACATATCGAGATCTTATCTCAAAACAAACAACGAACAAACAGAAAATGCATTAAGTAAATACACAACATCTGGAGGGTCAGTAGGCTTCCGGTGAACTCCTTGGAGTTAAATATGAAGAAGCTGCGGACATGACTCACAGTGACTCACCAACACCTAGACTTTAATGACTGATGATGTCTTTCTTTGCCATAGCCAATCCTGCCAGGAAGGTACCAGGATCATACACAGAATTCTTTCCATCAGTAGTGATTTTATCTTGTATCAATCCACACTACCCTGTCAGGTAGGAGCTTACATGTTTTTAATGCAGACACTCTGTGAGGTGTAGTGGGTGGGAGCCAGATAAAGACAAGTAAGATGAAAAGAGAAGTAGTTTCATGTTTCTGGACAGAGTAATTCGCCAATTTGAACTGAGCCTTTTAAATGGGTATGAGCTGTGTTCAAAACTAAGATCAGTCTCTCTCTAAACCATTCTGTTTCCTGCAGTATCTTAAGCCAGTGACTGACACACAAAGCTGTAAGGATGAGGCCTCGGTCTGGGGACAGGACACTTCACTGCCTGTGTGACCTGAGCCATGCTCCTCGCACTCAGAAAGCTGCTGAACTCCTCTCGGTGGATGGAGCCCAGTAGAAAATTAAAGTAAATCTAGACTTCTGTCTTACTCTTTGTTCTTTTTGCTTTGATGTAAAAGTCTTTGATCAAGCAAGATATTAGATCTAAACCTCTTAGTAAAGACAGAAAGAAAAAAGAAACATGATGGGAATTATACATTCTGCTTCGCGTTCCCACCTAGAAAGTACACAGCAGATTTTATGGAAGCAAGGTTTAGGTGCCTGTAGGGGAGGTGATAAACATCAGTGTGGTAACAGGGGTGGCCAGGAAGCAGAAGTTCAGGGAGCCCGGGAGATGCTTTTCAAACATGAAAAGATGTCACAGGAAAAAATGTGAAATATATACACAATTAAAACACCAGACCTCATTTGATGGGACTCATAAAAGAAGGGGTGCTTTTTAAGAAATGTGCCTGTTTCCATACCAGCCAGGACTAAATGCTGTGCCTTTTTGTTTCTAATGGGAAACTCATCATTTTGATCACCTGAAGGATGGTTATCATGGCAAAACTGATTCTGATGTTGATTATAATCAGCAAGATGCCCAATGAGCAAACAGATTATGCAACACTTCATCTTTAGCTATTGCAACTCATGGTTATTATAAGATTCCATAAACATTTCGATGTAAGTTTTGATTTTCATTCAACACAAGATTTATATTATTTTTAAAAATCTAACTCTAGAGTTAGATGTTTTAAGAAATTAACTGTGTGTGCAAATTAAGGAAAATTTGTTTTTTTTTAAATAGAAAAAAATGAATTCACCATTTTGTTGGCATGGAATGCAATGGTGTCAGTTTTCCTTGTCCCAAAATGTTATGGTATGGTGTTATGGTTATCTTATAACAGAACTCCACCCCCAATTAGGATACTTCAGTTTCTTTGTTGCCCAGGCAACAATTCCTGTTCCAGTTCTGGTTGCTTCTGTCTCTTAGTAACATTGTATAAACCAGTCCTCAGTTGACAAGCCATTCTACCTCTGTACTTCCCACTCACTTATATCATATAAATCCTGGACCACCAGAGATTGGGATCTGATATGCTGGGAATGATCCTGATCAATGCTTGTTGATGTAAATAAATCTGCCTCCAAATTCTGGGCGTCATTTTGGTGTTGCTGGTTTGTTATTTTCCACTTTTTTGACTTTTTAAAGGTAAAAATGTAAATATTACACAATGGAATATTATTTTTCTGTCTTTATGCTGTTTATCAGAGGGGTGATCTTAATTAGTAGCGAATCATCTACAGTAGACATGAATGTTCAAAATGTTGAATATACTGCATAATTAAATATGGAGTTCTCCCCCAAAACTCTGAGGCTACTAATATGAATCCTAATGAAGAATTTCCATATAAATATTTTTCAGTCATTTGTGGATCCAAAATATAATTACTGGTATATCTCCTGCATGGTAAATAGGCAGTGCTGTGGGAATTAAAGTAGTGAATAAAATAATCATATGACCAACCATCAGGGAATTTACCATGTGTCTAATACCAATTATCAAAATTTACCCAGCAAAATATATGAAAATCCAGACAATATGCATTATAATTTAATTAATCATTGTTTTATTATTCAAATGATTTGTTCTATTATACTATATGTACTTCTTCTGACTCAAAATTACACATGATATAATAGAAACAGAAGCATTAGAATCATTGGTTTAGATCTTATCTCCAAAATGACTAGATATTTTACATTATACTGATTTCCTAAATGTTCTGAGACTTATTTCCACTTTTTAAAAATTCAGGATAATAGCTTGATCACTGATAATTTGACAGTTGAATAAGAGAATAGTATGCTCCCTTCTTCTATGAGGTCACTTCATGATAAATATGAATTTTCTGTCCCATTTCTATTGTTCTGTTTTGTGGCTTTTCTAAGCCACCAGTGTAGCATCAATTACTGCTGATCTATCTAGATTTGGAATTAAAAATCAGGTGCCTATTTAGAATAAAAACCTGTTAAGGTTTTATGAGATTATAAAAACCCAAATCATGATGTCTTATTTTGGATAACAGAAAATATTTCATCTTATGAATTTTGAAGAATTAGAAAATGACTGGATTTTAATCAATTGTGCTAAATTACAACTCTTTAAGCTTAAATAGTGAGGTTACCAGAAACAAACCTCAGAAAATATTTTAAATATGACATTAAGGTACGAAGTAATCATCATTTTTGAAAATCATATAGCATATTTTAGAAATCTTTTTTTATTTATTGACTCTACCAACTTTCTATTTTCATTTCAGTGTAGGTTAAAATTTTATGCATATTCTTCTTGCTAGCATTTTGTCATCAGTAGGAGATGAAAACAAATGATTTGCAAGTAAAATGACACAAAATATTTTATAAAAGCTCGGTAAAGAAAAAGATTTAACATTGAGGCACTGAAAATAATTCAGAGATGACTCTATTATGGTAAATTAAAATTGTAACAACAAAATGAATTATTCTTCCATAAACTTTTCTTCATTTCTGTGCTTAGTATTACCATAAACCAGCAGATGTTTTAAAGATTGCATATTCTGTGGGCACTCAGACAACAGCAAGATAGAATTGTCTTTTAAAACACTATGAACTGTCAGTATTGAGTGCTTAAACAACAAGACTTTGTATGCATTGTCAGTGCGCAAGGATCAGAAAAATTGTTGAAGTAATTTTATTAAGTTAATTAAATTGTTAAAAGTAAATTGACACAAATTCAGTGAAAAGACTATAGTGTCAGCCCACCAATTTAGAGGTATAAGTTTACTTAATCAGAATTTATATGGTTCTAACTTTAGTTTTCAAAGAACGTATGCTAACAAAATGTGAATAGTGAAAGTTAATCCCTACTTATTAACCATATGATTGCTACAAACAAATGGTATGTTTAGGTTTGGAACCTTAAAGAAAAATTGTTGTAAAAATATGTGCTTGAATAAGATGCTAACCAAAGTCTTTGAAATAATAACTAAGTGAAAATACTGCCTTGAAAAACATTTAACTAGAACCTTAAAAAATGTTAGCCAGTAGAGAATTCATTATTGTTTTAGGTAAACTGTATTTTATCATGCTTCTTCTTCTCCTATTCTTTTAACATATTGGTAGTATGTTAATTTGCATACATTATTTACTGTGTACCATGATAAAAAAAAGTGGTTATTATAAACAAGTGGTTTTTATTTCCTTAGCTTAACTGACTGAGGAATGGAAGGAAAGGTTACCAAGACATAAGTCTTGGCAGCTTTCCTTCATGCAGTTGTCAGAAACTCAGAGTCAGCAGTTAGCCTGGAATTTTATAAGCAAAATTGGGCAATCTACTAAAAAGTTAGTATTCCAATGTGCTTATCTGTGCAATGTCTGTTATCTAAAACTAAGTGTAATCTAGTGTTCCTCAAAGGGCAAAAATGATATTATTTTTATTCAAATTGTTCAAAGAAGTCCTTTTTGCTTTAAAATGTATTTGCCTAAATTCCTCTGACCAGGTATAAAGAAGATGAATGAAAATAAGAATATGAAGAACAAATTTCTGTCATTCAGATCAGGCAAAAATTTCTGTAAGTACCAGTTGAGTTAAATAGAATTATCATCCTCACCCCCCATCCCCACCCTGGCTCTCTCCCTAGCCCGAAAAAATCCACTGAAGCCTTACAAAGCACAACAAACATATTTGGTCTTTTTTGTTAATGTGGTTTTGTTTTAGGGAAAAAAAAACTTCAGGAATTTTAATGAAACCTAATCCTTATCTCCAGTTTCCCTGGGAAAAGGCAGAGTGAAGCAATTGAAAGAAACTGTATGTTTTGGAAGTTTCTCACCAAAACTAGATTTTTCCTGAGTCTTTTTCAGTGTTTCAACTTATGGAAAACTAAAACCTATTCCAGTACAAAATACATACTCCAGAATCTAAAACATCACTTGGAAAGAACCAATGATGACTGGACTTCTATCTAGAAGGTACATGATGACATTGCTTTCTCTTTTACACACACACAAAACTCCTACTAAGGCACTCAGCCATCTCACCAAACCCACTTGTGATATCTATAGAAAATACCATGAATCAGAGAGCTGTGTGCTTTGCTTTATCTTAATTTGTGTTAGCATCCTTGATGTCATTCTCCTCTCATTTCTTAGAGATAGAAGAGTAAGAATCCTCACAGACTGCTTTGTGAAAGCCAAAAGCACATTCCCACAACTCTCCCAGTTCCTGAAAGCACTGACATCCACAAGACCAAATAGTTAGGAGCTACTCTGTTTGCCAGGAATGCTAGCACATATTTGTAATCCCAGAACTCTGGGAGGCTAAGGCCAGAAGTTTATAAATTGACCCCAGCCTAGGAAATGTAGGGGTTTAGCTAGACTCTGTCTCAAAATAAAACATAAAAAAGGACTGGGGGTGTAGCCCAGTATGACAGTCCTGGGTTTAACACCCAGCATCAGAACAACAACAACCCTCCACTTTAAAAAAAAAATTATGTGTTCCTTTAAAGATCCTACTACGCTGTTTGTATGACTGTCAGTCTGCCTCTGAAATGATGAGACTTTTTCTGCAATGCTATGCATTTCTCTTATAACTGGAAATTATGTTCCTGCCCAGCCACGACTCTAGCCTTAGAACCACGATCTCTACTTGGCTTCCTCAGCATGCGTCACTCTGACCTGTGGTACAAACCACTGAGATGGAAGATGCAGTGTGTGGTTGTGAAAGAGTTCAACAAGTGACTTTGCCCCAAGAAGCACAGTGTTTAAATACACGGCACCTGCCCGATATAGGATGAGGAAATGTGAATGACAACACATTAGCAAGCAAAAAGCAAATAATACTGCATATGTTATTTCTGATTTCATGTTTTAAATGTTATATTATTTTAAACTTAAAAACAAAAAAATATAAGAATTAAAGATATTATTTATAGCATTTATCCATAATTTACGATCTTTTCATCAAACCAAAATACATGCATATAATTCATACATACAAATATGTATATTGGGAACTGGAGGTATAACTATCCCCAGCACAAGAAAGACAGATAGATAAATACATAGATGGGTAGAATATACATGCGTGATATTTATGGGCATTCTTACTCAAAAATACTTTAGTGCTGGGAATACATAATCAAAAATGTAACAAGATATACTAAACATAAGGCCAGTATTTCTATTACTTAATTTCTTGAGGTTTCTTTTTAATTTCAGATTTGAGTTGGGCTTCATTTGCCATGAAGATCATCATGTCTGATTCAACATCTCACTTTTCTTCCAATGATGAGTTGCAAGTGGTTTGTTCATTTCTATTCTTAACTATTTTAGAATAAAATGTTCATAACATAGGAAAACAAATTTAGATGCTTTCTGGTTTGAAGTTTTCATTTTATTACGAAAAAAAGTTACTTGTTCAGTGCCACATAGCATGTAAATTAAAGTGACAGGATTAAAGCCCAAGTCTTCAAAACTCTGCCCTTAGCATTTCAAATGAACACATACTCAACAGATGAAAAAGTTCATTCTGAAGTCTGAAAATGTAGCCGACTAATTTTAATAAAATTACTACCATTGGTAATTCTTTTTAAAAAACCATTCTTGTATTATATGTCTTTTTTTCCCACATTTTAACGATTTATGTATTCTTTTCATTGTAAATCTTAAATTTAGTCCTTTTTTAAGCAAATCTGAAATCCCAGAGCTAAAATCCCAGCTCAGCATTTATTCTGTGATATCTGTAATTGGTTAACTTCTTCACCCACAATGTGCTCATTTGTAAGGTAAGAATTTATAATTTCTGTCTCTACTGTTTGAAGATACAGTGAAATAATAATTATGCAAAGGGAAGGAATAGTTTTTAGAGATTGGCAGAGGAATGCTTGCACTTGTGTGTGTATAATTTACCAGCTGTGTTGAAACATTTTGGTAGAAATAGTGTTTTATGACTTATATCAGTAATTTTTTCTTGCATTTTTTTAGGTGAAAGCATCCTTTGACTCTCTTAGTGCTCAAGGATTATATCTGGTTATTTTTCAAATTGTTCTGAAGGCTACAGTCAAAAATAGTTAATGGCAAGAGAAGAATCTTCCCATTTTGAGGACTTGGATACAAATTAGTGTTTAAGGAGTCAGTAGGAAGGAAAACATCAGAGCTGGGCTACATCTTGAAGTTAGACAGACAGAAAAATACCAGCAAAGCTTAGGGGAAGCTTTGAATATTTTGCCTAACTAGGAAAGCGTTTCAAAGAAATCAGCTGTGGTAGCTGCCTGCTCTCAGCTCTGGACTCCAGCTGATAGATACACGATGCTGGAGTGAGGAAGGACATTTCAGTTGTCTATTTAAAAGTAAACTTCTCTAATAATAGATGCATGTAAATACAGATAGATACTTATTTAGTTTCTTTTGTTTTGTTTTATCTTTTCCTAGTGTCTTGGTTACTTTTCTTTGATTGCTGAGACAAAATACCTGACGCCCAAAATGAGAGAATGAAAGGTTTATTTCTCTTACAATTTTTGGAGATTTCAGTCATACTCACCTGGCTCCAAGGCAGAGCAACTGTTCATGGTGGCCTGCAAGCAACAAGAGCAAAAAGGCCAAAGAAAGAGCAAAAACACCTTCTTCCTCCCTTATATTGTATGCCGGCTCCACCCCTGGGCGGGTACAGCACTCACCCCGCTAATTCCAGTGCTAGAGAATGAACCAATCACAAACAGTAGCTTCAGCAGCCTCCATGGCTGCGTTTGGTTTGGAGGGGGGCATCTGAACACAAACCGTAACACTGAGTATCCTGGAGTTTGCCTCACCAATTTTAATTGCAAGAAAATGTAGTCAGCTGATTAAAACTGTATCTTTCCTTTGTACCTTTCAATACCCTAACCCTAACCCTACCTTCAATTCATACTGAACTACTTCATTTAATTTTCAACACTTGTGGGAAATATCATTAAAATTGTGAAGGGTAAACATAAAGAAACTAGAGATTATTAGATTCATCAGATTTTTGAAACCAAATGTCAATATTTATCAAGGAAGCAAGCAAGGACACATTTTGACTTAGTCTCATATTTGTAAGGAGTCTCAAAGGAAAAATTTTGAAGTCCTCTCCAGTGAAGTTAATCTTACAGTTGTGAAAGTACAGAAGAGAAAAAAGATACTTACCACACCACTTTAATCCATTTGCTATTGCATTTTTAATAAATCCTTTGAAAGTTACAGAATTAGAATGCATTGCATGTTTTGGTTTAAATCATAGCTTAATGTAAACATTTATATATATTTTGTAATTTCATGTGAAAATTATCACATTGTAAGGGAACCTCTTGATCTATGAAGTGCCCTTCCTTATGCTTTTCTTAATATTTTAATAAAGTAGCTTGGAATAAATAGAGAAAAGAACACTTTACATACAAGTAGTAAACTGAGTAAATTCACTTTCACACAAGTGAATCTGTATGAAATTTTAAATGAATTTCATGAAGTCATGAATCAGTATATAAATGATATTTATTTGCATAATTAAGTGAAGCTAGGACTATCGGAACAGGAGGGAAGAGGGCATCCCCAATGGCCAGTGGATGCATGGGGGCAGGGCTGCTTAAGATTCTTTTTTTGTATAATAAATTTACTTATCATATTATTTCAAAATTTTAATTCTGTTCTTTTAAATTCTTTATCTAAATACAATATTGAATACAATTTCTTTTTTTTTGCTTCTTCCCCAATATTTTATTATGAAAAATTCCAAACATACAGAAAGATTTAAATAACCATATAAGGAACACTCATTTTCCTACCTAGATAATACAACTAGTACTTTGCTGTTTGTATTTGATTCTCCCACACAGCTGATACATTTTTTTCTTGTGCATTTCAAAATAAGTTGAAAATAGAATTCCCTTCACATATACCTCAATGAAATTTTTCCTCTCAGTTGTTTTATTATAGTAGAATTCACATAAAATTCACTTAATCATATTGAGTATGGTTCAGTTGTATTAAGTACAATTGCATTATTGAGCAAGCATACCACCATCCATCTTTAAAACCCTTTTCAACTAGCAAAAAAAAATCACGATATTTGTCCTTCAACAGATGAATGGATAACGAAAGTGTGCTATTTATATACAATAGAGTAGTACTCTGTCATAAGGATAAATTTGAGGAATTCATAGGCAAATGCGTGCAACCAGAGAGCATAGTATTAAGTGAAGACAGAAACACAGGCTTAACTATCACATAGTTTCTCGATTATGAAAAACTCAAAGTATGCATGCAAATGAGGAGCAAAATGGAAGATAAATAGGAAGTGAGGAAAGGTTTAAGTGATTTTACAATTACCTATTCCATTGCCCCCAAAATATTTTAATACATGCTAATTTGTTTCATTTATACAACTAGTCAATTCACTGAAAAGCATGTTCTGTGCTAATACCTGTTCTGTGTAAGAGATCATTTTTGTCAATAGTGATCCATAGTGTGTTAACTATTGCTATTCTCTTTTTTATATAAAATTGTGTTTTATTTTTTCATATAATTAAAAAAGAAAATGGTGACTTCAAGGGCTGAGGAGAAATAGGGGGTTATTTTTTAATAAATACAATTTCTAAGATTCATAAGAAATGAATACAGAATAAAGTAATTGCATTATTTGATGAAAATATGAGGATTACTGTGACAATAATATTGTGATAAATAGCTTTTTTTGAAGGGGATACCGGGGATTGAACTCATGACCTCACACTTGCCAGGCAGGCACTTATGCTCCTGAGCTAAATCCCTGGCCCATGTGATAAACAGTTTTTTAAAAAATAAATGCAGTGTACTTATCGGTATGGTATTTCAAGAGATTTATTGTAAATGCCAGGTCACTAATACCAACTCAGACTTGGTGAACGTTCATTTTACTTTTTTTATCATGAATGAAAAAATGAGATGTTAAAAAAGCTATACTCAAGATATGAATTTTTAATAGAGTGAGCAGAAATGACTTCTCTGGAATGCCCTCATTCTCCACCATGTCTAGTGAAACTTTTGTGGTTTTAGTGGCCCACTCAGAATGAAAAAAAATCTCTCAGCTAGCAGAAGCCCACCTTGCTCTCTTCTAGGCTTTGTATGTGGGATAGCTTCTTAAGACTCAAAAATACAACTTAGTATTATGCTAAGTAATTTCTTGTCCTACATCATGTATATTCTTCTGCATTTCATTCTTGGTGTGCTATTGGGCATACTTAAGTTTCCAGTGAAATAACTACTTACTATTAAGACTCCTGAATTTTGAGCAAAGTTTATGGTACTCACTTTCTTTTTTTTTTTTTTAAAGTGTACAGTAAACTACTTGGTATACATCTAAATAGTCACAAGAGCTAATTTTCTACCCGAACACTAACTGTTTACCAACACAAGCTTGTTTAAAATAATTCTTAGTCTACAACTTTTCCTTTGTTTCACTCTTATTAACCTTTCATTTATCTGTGTATCATTTTTGTTCTCTTTCAATGTATAATGCTTTATAACATTTGTATTTATACAGTTCAAGTCAATCATGTACAGTTGGTCTTCCACATCTATGAATTCTGTATTCATGAATTCACTCAACCAAGGTTCAAAAATATTCAGAGGGAAAAAATCCTATACTGAGTATGTATGAACTTCATTCATGTCATTCCTTAAAATGGCAATTCATATAGCATTAACATTTTATTAACTGTTATAGGTAATGTAGAGTTGATGCAGGGGCATGTGCATACCTTATATGAAAGTAAGTACCATGTTATATAAGGGACTTGAACATCTCTAGAATTTGGTTGCCTAAGACCCTGGGACTAATACTTCATGAATACAGAAGCAGACTGTATAAGGTTACCTGCCTTCTGCTAACTTAATTTTTTCTATAACTAAACTTATTGGTACATTTCAGACATACATAATGATCATATTCATCACAGGGAATTTGTACTTGTACATGATTTATTTTGCTTTCTCTATTTTTCCTGCTCCCTTTTCCTCTCTTCAACCCATCTTCCTCTCCCTAATTATGAAGCTTTGTTTGCATTTTATCCTTTTTTAATCATTGTTTTTCTTTTCCCTTTCTTCCCTTCTCCCTCCCATCCCTTAGTTCTTTTTTCCTTTTGAACAATGTCTTTGCCTTTCACAATATCTATCATCCATTTTGGTTCTTATTTACTCTTTCAGTTTCCCACAACAGGGAGACAATGTGATATTTATACACGTGAATCTAATTTACTTCACTAAACAGTATGGTTTCAAGTTGCATCCATTTATCTAGAAATGCCTCAAATTTATCCTGAGTTATATATAGATATCTTGTTTATCCAGTCCTCATTTGATGGGCATTTGGTTTGTTTCCATGATTGCTAACTTAATCTTACCAAATTGTGGTCTCCAACTCACAAAGAAGAAAGTGGAAAAGGATCACAAAAGAAGTGGTTTTGCTGGATCAAATCACACATGTAATTTATATAACTTTTATTTGAATAGATTTTGATAGATTATTTTCCAAAAGGAGTGTTAGTTTGTTTTCTTCTTATCCCTAAATCCTGTACTTGTTAGTACCAGACATTTATCTTTTAGCTCTAGGCAAACCATTGTAAAGGATAGCTCCCTGTGATATTTAAGTAGGCTTACCGCTAGTTTTTAAAACCTTTCTATGTTCTTCAGTTTTAGATGATTTCTTTGTATACTGATTACATTGTACCTGATTTTCGTTTCCTGTTATGTTCCTCAACTTTGGTAGGACTTGGAGTTTGTTATCTAGCTCTTTCTTTCTCAAAGATATAAAATCCAAAGCTTCTGAAGCCTTCAAGGTGAAAGTTGGCCTTAGTCTTTGGCTGGGTTCCTGCCCTTGGTTAGATTTTTTTTTTGATCTGTGAGTATTCCTTGCTGACTTTCCAGGTCATCGATGCAATAAAACAAACTTTAAATAATTTGATTCTATATGCATAATTACTTTTAGCAAGAAGATCAATTAAGGTACCTATTCTCGCATATTCCCAGAAACTATCATAATTTATTTTTTAATATGCAAATTCCTAATATATTATATAAGCAGCTCCTTAGTATGAAAACTAGTTTACAGTATTGACTATGTAGTATTAATTTCTCAT